ACATAACCTGTAATGTAGTTGTGCCCTACTGACCTGTATTTCTGCTATGAAAATGAGTATTATTCGCTGTCATTACAGGGAACCAAAAATAAGCAGGCTAATTCTAGTTCATTTGTGCGGATTTTAATTGTTTCAAGACGATGGAAATACTAAAGAATGTAATATGAAAGGAAACTACTTTTATTCCACTCACGCGACCACATTATGAAAGAGTGTTTACAGAAGTTCTCAGCATTGAACAAAGGTTCAGAAAATGTTATCGGAGTAACGTGATATTAGAAATATGAAAGTGTGTTGATGATTACAATACTGTCATTTCCCTTAAAGCGTATGGAAGAAGGAGGCAATGATGAATAAAGTGAAAATAATTTTTGGTTGTAAAGAAAGATAGAGATAAGTGAAACTCTTGACGATGTAGTGGCCGCTACCATGTCAAGCCCACACAGATTGTTCTAGCCCTTGGACAGACCAATATATCCATTCTTCTCAAGCCACGTCTTTACTCTGTCACTTAGTCGAATATTAACCCTGACTGCTTTTTATACGATCATATGTGTACCAATTGTTTATCCTATTTATCACGTGCCTGTAACTTGTTTTTGTTTGATTATAAATATTGAGCCACGCTTGGTTAAGTGGAGTTTGCTCACATGTGTTCAACGATCCGCTTCGCTTCGCTCTCTCCACATTGCTCCATTCACTTCGTTTCTCCGGTCCTCTGTCTGGATCAACGATTGTACGAAATGTACGTATCCATAATTCATTCTTGTGTTTCACTTATTTGATTCTGTTATCCACAAACGCGATCTGAGTCGACAACTATATACGAAGGCAACTGGGATGCATATTTCGATAACAACCATCTTACCATCCAATTGGAGTCAGATAATGGACCACCAAAATAAGGCACGAACAGTGACCAAAAGTGTTCAACATGTCATATTCGCTGAAACTAATAAGATGATCACCAGTGTTGAGTGTTGAGAAAGTTGTTTGATTCAGTGAGTCAATTACCAACACAAAGTTTTCCAGGGTGGACGATCTCGGAGGGAATAGGTAGGACAATTTCAAATCCTGTATATCACGAAGAACAGTTCACGTGTGGTACTAAGTAACCTCCACAATATGTAGTTCTGTAAGTCTACGATATTAATTCTGAGCTCACTAATGTTACTAGACGCACCCGAGCTGAAATCGTTCGGTCAAGCGTCCACACCGGATTACCGTTTGGTACTCTTTACTACTCAGTCCTCTCAACTACTAGCCAGTCTAGATCACACAGACATCTCGACAACACGGCATTTTTCTAGACACATCCTCGAACGTTTTCATTACTGACTCCTGTTTTGACTGTGTTTGCCATCCTTCGGTTGGAAAGGTGTTGCGTACAAAAGCACTGAACAAATGTGACATATTTATGTTACACACTCTTGTCCCCCCCACCTTCATAAAATAACCGTATCCTTTATACACGTTTCAGACTTGTGTTCAGAATCTAGAGCAACAATTCACTGAGCATCATCTAAGTGAACCAGTGCCACTCAGCAAACAGATTCTAAATAACTGTAAAACGATATGTTAGGATGTTAGACTTACGGTGGCACTTTGAAACCAAGTGTACGGTAACTCCCATTAGCTCAGGTGCGTCGTCGTCTCAGTGTTTACCAAACAAATGAGGAGAAAACATTTGCATAGAATCAAGGTTTGAGGTTAATTTAGAGTGTCAAAACATTTTTTCTTCAAGGGACCAGAAGGTATAGATTTGTTCACAAGGTTGAACAAAAGAGCATACAAAGTCTTTTTGAACATCGATGTCACTCTGTGAGTGCTTTCTAGTCACCCCAACGTCTGTTGTTTGACAGCGATACTATTCTTCTCTTGATTTCCTCCCTCTTGCACCCAACCAATTTTCATCCTTCGTAAACGTACTTTAACATGTCTCACTCTTCTTTGACAGGATCGTTATTTTTCGATTTTCGTCATGATTTTTTAATGAACTATGAGGATCTGCTGGAAACACGAGGACAAGGTCGTTGTTACGATTGGAGATTTTGTCACGTTATAAATAACAGTGTCACAGCACATAACAGACAGAATATTAGTTTTAACGATGTTGAGATTAGAAATATCTAAAATACTTTGCAAGTTCAATACTTTCTTACTGTATCGTGAATGCTTTTGCAGACGAAATCACTAGAACATCCTCGGCAAATTATGTCGCAGAGTGGATGATGGGTTAATTCCTTGGTGGACACATGTCTTGGAGCAGTTTCAGAAGATATAAGATTGGTCCTTCTTTCTAGCAAACATGTTTTTGAAGATCAAGGCTGGTTTGTATCAAAGATCCAATATAACATGAAGACCAAAAAGTGTGTACGAAATCAAATGTAGTGATTGCGATGATATATATGTAGGTGAAATATCACGACTGCATGTGATGGAGAAGACAGACAAATGCTTAATCCAAATTTTTAAAACTCTCAGTTGACACAAAAAAGCTGGGCAAAATAACCCATATCATTAGACTCAACAGAGTGTAGCGTGGCGTCGAGTTGTGATTAACTATGAACACCACTACAAAGAAACACGTGCCAATTAGATCAGAAGGCGTAAGAAGCTCGTTCCAAATGACTCCATAAAATCCCCGAGAAGCCAAATATCAGAAGGGAATTAATGGACCAAGTCGAGGTGTATATTTGCTGGCGATCTCGTGGCATCCAAAGGATACCGAGATCGTGCCAGGATACAACCTTGGTTACAGAAGGTAACCGAATTCGCGCGAAGTTACAATCGAAGTGTAAGTAAAAGAATGGAAGCACAAGATAGCTGTCATTAGCACAGTCAAACAAAAGCACGTTAAAACAAACACTGGTACAGTTGGTTATAATAATAATTGTTTTTATTAAACCAGTCGTGTTCTCGTGATAAATGTGAGTCACTACAAGGGTATTGTCATACAATTTATCTTATAGTCACAAGAATCTTTCAAAAGTGTTTGCATTCCTACAAAGTGTTACTAACAGATGCAATGCTAAACATATGTGCAAATCCAAATAGTATGAATACGAGGGATGGAATACAATTAGCTGTCCCATAACAACTAATGAATAATAAGTAAGCCTTAACTCATCATTCCATCCAATCTATCACTTATTATCTGCGTAACAACAGTGCTATCTTATCTGAATATTTTTAATAATAAGCTGGGACAGCAAAAATAACACAAGCATTCATTTATTAATTATTTTTGTTTTGTTTACTTATCTTCATTTTATGCATGCTGTAACAATTGATCCACATAACATTTAAAAATTGTATATTTTCTTTTGAAAATTCACCGGTCAGAGTGGATGAAATTTCTTCCCACGTCTCTCATGAATACACACAATCTACTATCTCAACACTTTTTGTTACACATCATATGTCTCTTACGCACTGAGGCAAATACCATATAAACAGTGTTAACATGATTGGATGACCTATTTGGTATACAGCCTTCTGTTTATATTCGATAATTTTAATGTCTGGCTATATCTCCTTGAAAACGCTTGGACCAGACTGCCAGGCTAAACGTTAGGTCTACTTAAAATTCAGTCTCTGAGATTTCACAAATATATTCTTCCTCCCCAATGTCTTGCATTAACTCAGCGCCTAAATACTTTAGAGTAACTTGTCCGAATTTAAAAGCAAGTTCTTATGTACCAGTTATATCCATTCTACACCATTGTTAAAATTGAGAAGTCTCTAAACACTTTTGTGATCAATGTACCCTATAAAACATCGAACAAACTAAGTAACCCACCACGATGAAGACTGTATCTCCTGTAACGATTTGATCTTACCTGTAAAATGGCATGCCTCACGTAACAGACTGCTGTTTGAGAATAATTGTTATTAATACCATTAACAATCCCGAATAACTAAATTGCGAAAATTGTAATAACATTGCCGAATTATGATCCAGTTTGGTATTAGTACATTTATTTTCGCTACTATGACAGCAGACTTAATCCCCAAATTGTAGATTTGTCATGATGTGACTACTTAATCTGTAGGATTTTACGTGGAATAAATCTCACCGTCTTTACTGACACTTGTTATCGTTAAAATCAGCAGTACGATGTTCTGGACCACTGAAGGATTACGTCCAGGTTGAGGATAGAATAATATGTTTGATATAGAGAGGATTACGTTATATAGCGACCACATTCGTAAGGCTGAACCTTGCCGTACCAATCAATTGTTGAGCTGAACTTACCTAAGTGTAGCATATTGAATGAGGATCTTCTCTGTATTTATATGCTCAGCTTCAAAGATCGCGTGGCTAGGGTTCAATATCACTAAAAGTCTATTCCCATTGTTATGTGACCTAAATCTGCTGCAGTTGGTACCCAGAGAAATTGCTTCTTAGAACCTAAGTCTAGCATCAACGTCTTCTGCTCAGCTGTCGTGACTTCAGTTTTGTTGCCAGCCTGAAATTTAACTGAGGGAATTTTTCGGCCAGCCCTTTTTTGCTATGAGACGTAATACTTAGTGCAGCACTGGTGTCCACCTGAAATGTTTAAGCCTGAATTTCTGTCCAACATAAAACAACGACTGTCAAGGCACCCCTCCTCATCAGTCGTCATTTTTAGAGAGGTTATTCATCTCTCATATTCTTAAGAGTCTATTTTAGCTACATTATTGACTACACACAGTTGATTTGGAACCAGACTCTTAGTGATATCAACAGAACTGCCCAGGTCGTCTGAACGTTTGTGACGTGCTCTTGTTTTTATGGTCTATTTGTATTTTGGAGATGGTCACCGTGACACGTTGAGATGTGACACTTTGCGCGTAGTTCAGGCAAAGTTTGGGAAAAATTCGCAGCTCGGAGGAACTTCCAATTTTACTGCATTTTCCCAAAGTTCACCCCAAATCTTCTACAGGGTGTCGCAAGCATTATAGAAAATTGATCGACTTTGTCTCGAAATTGGTAGCTTATGATTATGGACCAACCCAATCTCCCTACTTTGAGGTTTCCGCCAGAGCCCAATCGTCTTCCCCAAAGTTTTGGGGATTTCCCCATATATAGGGAAATTTTGGTGTTTTTATGTCATTTCCTTAAATTTTCCTAAAAAGGATGAAATTTTCCTCAAAATAGAGAGATTGAAAAACTAAAAGACCCGAAGGTTCCTTTTCATGTCAAGACATAAATAGGGCGGAATTGGGTAGTTTACATCACTTCGACACACGCGTATTGGATATCGTATTTCTGAAGGTGATCACTGTGCGCAAGATACGAATCAATCAGATATGCGTGTCTTCTCTTGTTGCTTAAAGTCGTTGGGGATGTCGAGGTAAACTTAATTAATGGGAATGATCAAAGCGTTCAGCAAACTTTTGTCTCGAGGCTTCATTCCTACCAGGTTCAGGTCAACCCTCAGTCCAAAAGATGTAGGCCTTTTTTCATCCTATCAGTGTATACTTTCCAGAGGATGCGTTACATACATTGGTGCTCTTTCGTTTTCCTTGCAGGGTCATTCACTGTAGGTTCAGTTTTACTGACAAGAGACCTTGCAAAAGGTTAGTGACTAATTTTGTGGATCTAAGTATACTTAATAAAATTTTTGTTTTGTCATTCATTCACTTCACCCACAGCTATATAATGTCATCGGGTGCAGAGTAAACATATGTGGCTTTTTATTATCTTACCTTTGTTTAGTTCTTAATGTCGTTACGTTAACAGTCACATAGCATTGCCGTAGCGGGTGAATGACTTGAAGTGCGAATATCCGGTTTCTTAAACGGCGTTTATGGGTACGAAAGACACACCTTAGAGAGTTGGAAAACCCTGATTTCAAACCAGTGGTGCACATGGGCTCCAGGATCCTAAGGATGCAAATGGTGACTGACCCCACTCTTGGTCACCGGCTACTATGAGTCCGCACCTAGCGTTGTTCCATTCCCCTGTGGATTCGACATTTAGGTCGAAGGCTCTGGGTGTGGCCCCCTAGAGAAACTACCTGCCTTAGTTTTGGCACCCAGACAGTATTCCGGGCCACATCCACTGGTTTTTGTGGCCCATATATATTTTAGTACCGCTCTGTACCAATATTTATATTCAAATAAATAATAAGTAATGAATATATTTTGGGTGGTTGATACAGTATTTTATAAACGTTTTATCAGGATGAAACTATAGGGTGAAAAATCTTGACAATTAATCTGGTTTTGTTTAAGGTGAGTAGCTTAATGTATAGAGTTGACAATGTTGGTTTTAGTAAACAAAGTTATTTGTTTCAGCACCTTGCAGGTGATGCTCAAATTTGGACTATCAACTCTTGAATTCATTGTATGCAGGTGAATATAAAACTTTTGACGTAGTCCGGGTTAATCAAGTTTGGTTATAACTTATTAAATTATTGTGAATAGTTCAGTTTCATATGATACTAGTTGCAGTGTATAACTGTTTAAGTGTATTTGGCGGGTACTTTTATACTTTGTATACTCTAACCCCACTTATAATGAGAACTAACGATACTAACCGACTACCCATCTGGAAGGGGGACAGAAATAGGGCCTCCAACTAATATGTTGGAAATTGGTTGCTTAAGCTAATAAAACACCATTATACAGCTTTAGCTGATAATAAGTAACTCTCTACTCTTCTTTCCGTCCACTACCTATTTCTCATACTAATTCGGTCTTCACACAGTTAATTAAATATTTTATTTCTTATAAATGTACCTCAGCATCGTGTTGAGAATATTTTTAACCTGATTTGTAAATAACCCTGTTTATGGATTCCATCTGCCAATTTCTCAGAACTTACGTGTTGATTTTTCTGAATATTTTTAAATTGTTGGATAATTAAAAATCAAAATCAACTGTCGCGAACGTTCAACTTATTGTTCCTAACATTTTAGCCAGAAAAATATCAGAAAGAAAATATGGTCTGCCATCTATTGGTGGCGATTTCAATTTGGTTGACCATAATGGAAACCCATGTAAATTAGCTGATTTCCGCGGAAAATGGGTTCTGTTGTACTTTGGGTTCTGCCGATGTCCAGATATATGCCCAGAACAAATAGAGAGACTTGTGGAAGTATCTGACAGAATAAGTAAGCTAAAGAAATGTTTAAGTAATTTTATTAAATGTGACCATCTTTTTTGCTTAGTATGTCATTTTGCAATCTTGTCTAGTGTAGTTATATGATCTTAACAGCTGATTTCATTAATATTATGGTTTATTTTGGCACCACATTCAGTCAATAGGTCTCTCATATTTTCCTTAAGTTTTTCATACTTCAACCAAAACGTATTTCGGGATTTTAGGTCTACTCAAAAAGGTCGTTTATTTGAAATGTTATTTTTACATTGCTATGGTAAAGTGATTGTAATCATTTCTTATTTTCGTAAAGACTAAATAAGATCGCTTTTTAAGGTACTTATTTTATGGTAATACTGGTGACATTGTCTTACTCGAAGATGATAGACTATCTATCCACCAAATTATCTTCATTCTTGTGTAGTATATTGTTGTTCAAATCACTTAATTATCTATAAGCTGTGATTACAAAACATTTCTGTTTTATGGAAATTGGACGCAATTGTTTTAGTGTAAGCATCATCCTATTCGACAAAATCATTTGCTTAATGTTATAACGTGATGAAAAGTCAATATTAGATTAATTTACTCATGGTTTTTATTCAACATTGATTCCGTTTAATTCAATTTAATGATCATTCAGTATAGTATTTGTTTCGTTTTCCCTTATGATATTTTATTCTGTCTAACATACGACATTCTTGTATTAAGTTAACATGAATTATACTCAGCATATAGTTTGTTAACTAAGTATTTTTCATATATGTGATTTTATTTTGATTATTAATAAAAATGGGTGTACAAACTAATATATAGATGAGTGTATTTCCGACTAGACTTGTCGTGATTGCTCGTGCTTCTGGCTGCTTGCGGAATATATTTCCGTGTTCGAACTTGGACTTCTCTTTCTAGTTAGCGGAGCTGGGACTGATTAAAATAGCTAGCTTATTGGTCTTTGGTCACAGAGTCTTGTTCCGTTCGCAGACTAGGTGAACTCGTAGTCGCTTCAAACATAACACTTAAGCTGTATATTCGTATTTATAGTTGCTTGATATGTATGTCTATAGAAAGATAGAGTGATTACATTATAAAGTGATCCTAGATTTAAAATGTTAAAATGTTGCCTAATAATCAAGGGGTAAGAGAAGAATAGAGGGATGAAAATAGTTGGAGTTTTGTTGTTTGAGCTGGATGGTTTGGCCACGCAGCTTCGATTGTTCTTTTGAACAGCGTCAGCACAAACTTCAAGTAAAAATGAATTATTTGAACTTCTTTACGTATGACACAGCTTATCCTGTCGGTCTCGGTCCTGATTGGTTATTGTTGACCTTTAACTTGTCATTGCCTACCTGTTTATTTTGATTGTATCTACCTTTGATTTGATTCTTGATCCTATATTTGTCCATGATTCTCCTGATTGGTTAATAGATTGGATCGATTTCAATGTGTTTGTTGTTTACTGACCGACCTAAGCGTCAAGCTTTTAAAACTTCTCAGATGTTTGTCCACAGTTGTCCATATGCTTTGATATAAGCGAAGATGTTAAGATCTTAGATAGAGAGAATACTAAAAGCATCCGACATCAAACCTCACCTAAATAATCCAAATGAGCTACAAATCTTCATCTGAGGATGAAAATAATTTGCAGGTTAGGAATACGGGCGGCAATTGTCCACTAAACAGACATGAAGAAAAGAAATTTTTTTTTCACTGGATTCTATTTTTATTCAGTAACACAAGGGGCTAATCTAGTTATCTCGTCTCGTATATATAAAAAATACCAAATCGAACCATTTGGCAGCTTTACACTTAAGTTTTTAGACATCAGTTGAAGAAATATGAAAAACTAAAAACATTTAGATGAGCATCATTTTTTAGTTTTCATCAAAACTTTCCTTTCTGTAGAAACTTGAATTAAGGTAGTGATTGTTGCACTCATTGTGAAACCTAGTTTTTCAGTTTCATAAACCATCGACCCATCCCATATTTTAATACTACCAGTTCTTTAAACATCACAAATATGCTTTTTCTTACAGTGCTTATTGAAAAACCCAAATATCCCTTAGTGCCTGTATTCATGTCTGTCGACAGCGAACGTGATACCCCAGATATTTTAGCTAAATACGTTAAAGGTAATAAGTTTTCATCTTATATTTCTTGTATTTTAATGTACTATTTAGCAATAGTCAAAGGGTTGTTAATTTTACAGAACTCGTGTCATTTTGCAAGATATTTATTTTCGCTGTAATATCTTGAGCCGTTCAGTGGTAACACTTGTAGTAGTGTATGATAAAATCCTTGGTCACTTATGAAGTTCAAGATTACATATAAATCTTACTGGTGAATATGAACAGTTATAATACTCGAGTATGAGTCCTAATGCAGATTAATTTTAACTATCCAAAGTCTAACATTTCGTATTGTATTATTAAATATAGCAAATTGTCAGTCAATTTCCAATCATGAACAAAAAGATGAAATTTTAACCATCATTTTTCCTATCTAAAAGCGATTCGTGACTATTTACATTCACTTATTCACTGTAGCAGGAGTGAAGATAAATAAATAAAAACTATATGAAACCGGAAAACAGCTCATTTGTCCAAAAAGGTTAACGTTCGAAGTACCACAGTTAATAGTATTTAATCAGAGACAAATCGTAAGTTGAATTTAATTATTTCTAGTGCATTAAGTGAAATCATAATCTTATTCATGTCTTCAACCATTGATTTTGAGTAGTTTTAAGCCAAGCACTTGAGGGATATTATTGTTTTTACTTTTTTTACGAAAATGTGCAAATGATAAGCGGTGCACCCTGTATAATATACTTTTCGGTGTCCTATTGTACCAAAATTTTCATGACATAAAAAGCCAGTGAAAATGATTTGTTCACTACTGTCATCACAATAATTCTAATACTGTCGAGAGTCTTGATTAATTGTAATCTCTTACAACCAATACTTTTACTTGAGCTGTTGTACAAGGGGAACCCCGAAAAGCAATTATCTTATTGGTGAGTATTGGCCACGATATCTGGTGCCTAGTATTACCTAAATTCGTACCTATTACTCTATGCAATACATTCACCAAGTGTAACTCACTAACTCCTATTTTAAATCCCTACAATTTTATATGCAGTGTCAACATATTGTGTTTTATGAGTACAATAGGTAATAGCAGAGTCACTGTATAATTGGCTATAGTAAGTTCTGTAACTGGGTCAACTAGATAATAATGGGATTAATCAAATGTTTTTATTGTAAGTGGTAAGATCTCATTTTAATGATAAAATTATGTTTCTTTCTCGTTTTCGGCTGTAGAATTTTCACCGCATCTGATCGGGCTGACCGGTACTAAAGAAGAAATTGATAAAGTTTCTAAACTCTATCGTATTTATTACAGTGCAGGACCAAAAGATGCAGATGGCGATTATATTGTGAGTTTTTTTGGTGTTTAGTGGTTATTCAGTACATTGAATACGTGTTACTAGTAGCATATATGATGAATTAGTGTTTAAAGTATTGATAAATGGTTTTGGTTTTATGAAGTTGTGGTGTTTGGATCTCGGGTGTTGAGTGGCTTTCAAATCGTTCGAATCGCTAGCAGCACGAAGTCTGACGTGCGTGAAAAAAATTGTGAAGCTGATGAGATGCCGAACAGTAACTGCTGCCGACGTCTTGGACGATGGGCAGAGTTTTTCAAGAAGTTCAATTGGTCCGCTACCTCGGTGACATCGACCAGACTTTCCTGCCCTTCACGACAGGTAACGACTGATCCACCTAACGAGGCAGAAGTCTTCAGAGAACTCCAACTCTTGAAGCACCACAAATAACCAGGCTTGATTGACTTAACTCCGACCTTTGTTAAAAATAACTCCGCCGGAGCCCCTATGGGGTTACTGCCGATCCCAAGTTTGGATAAACGGGGGGGGCATGCGGTTTACGACCCCATCCCGTAAAAAACTAACTCGCTAAAAAACGCTAACCAGGAGAAATAATTCAAACCATTTAAATTCTGCCCCGGGAGTTAGAAGGTCTTCATTTAGAAAAGTTATGACGCCTCATGGTGGAACCTGAGTTCCTTCGGAAGTCACAAGGTTAATGTCCCTTCCGACAACCGGAGCAACGATTAATTTAGGTACATGGGATGCTCATACAATATGGGAAACCGAGAGAGTCATCCAAATTGCTGCAGAAATGAAAAGATACAATTTTTTTAAAAATGGTGGAGACCTGGTTAATGAACTGAGCTATTTACAAGTGTCTGGCAATTAGAGTGTTCCAACGTCGTCGGATGAGTTGATAATTGTCCCTATCTTTAAAAAGGGTTCGCATCATCTTTACATTAATTATCGGTGGATAAGTATACTTCCGATTGCATCCAAAGTGTTATGACCTTGATCTGTCTACTCTAGATTAAGACCTCGACGCAATAAGCTGACCGGTTTAACCTTGAGGCTAGTATGCATGAGTTCGAGGCGGGGTAGAGAGAAGAAAACTATTCTATCACATGATTGGCTGACAAGCACGGTAATGAGAGAAGACAAGACAACTGGAACACTATTCGCTCTATTCTGATATACTGCTTTCCTGTAAATTCTCTGAATTCAGATTAGTGCAAAAAGGTACATGAATAAATAGGTGATTTACCCGACCACAACGTACAATAATTTGGGAAAACACAATTATGTCCAAAACTGGAAATTAGAGTAGAAAATAAAATGCAAAATATTATGTATAAATTACAATAGCTTCGGAACAAAAAGGGGTATGGCAATGAATGATACATCGAACGAAAGCTCATGTTCTGTAGAATAAAATAGGGACAAAAATAGATATAAGTGTTTTACAAGCTTTGAATAAAATGAAATAACGTCCCAAAAAATAGCTTTCGTAGTTTGTCAGGGCTTCTTGTTTCCCTGTTCACATCACAAACTAATGACTTACGTCATACTTCTTAGATTTTCCGAACCCGAGTAAGACTGACTCGCGAGGAGCAGGCTGGTTTTCGTTCCCGTGGAGGATGTATTGGTCATAATTTCACCCCCCACACTGAATTGTAGAACGTCTTACATATTACAGGCCAACAATCGTAGTGTTTCTTGACATCAGTGCCGCTTTCGATTCGTCTAACAGACGTGTTCCCTGGGATGGTCTGTTGAAAAAGGGTGTGCCTGAAAAATTTATTAACGTCTTTAAGGCTTTATATGCTGGCACCTCAGACAGAGTTATGGCATACAACTACCTCTCCATTGTTCCATTCAAACAGTTGGGTTAGGCAGGGTTATCTAATTTCACCGTTTTTCTTCAACTTTGTTATCGATGACGTTCTGGAAACAGCCCTGATGGATGTAGATAATGATAGTATGGACCGTTGCCTGGAGAAAGACATTTCGATCTTGAGTATGCGGATGATATTGTCTTACTGTGCGATAACCAGTTGTCAATAAGTGTCCGTAGGTATGGTATGTGCTTTGCATCTTCTAAGTGCAGGGCCAGGGTCCTGTACTCACCCTGAGTGGTGTGCAGATAGAAGTAGTCGAGAAGTTCATGTATTTAGGTGGCTGTGTAAGTGCTGGTAGTGGCATGAGTGAGGAGATCAATTCACGTATAACGTAAGCCAAAGAGGCTAATGCCAATGCGGACCGCCTTCATGATATTAGTCTGGTTTTTAAAGGTCGGATCTATAACGTGATGGTAAGAGCAGTTTTTCTCAACGCTTGTGAAACCTGACTTCTCTGAGTTAAGGATGTTATCATCGTTGTTTCCGAAGGGTTGCTGACATTCAGTGGCAACAGTATGTTAGTAATACAGAGGTTCAACATAGTGTGTTCGGGCACAGCGACCATAGTTCATTTGGTGTCACCACCTTGAAACACCGACTTCAGTGGTTTGGAGATGTTCAAGGAATATCGTTCCGGCGAATTCCACACCGTACATTATTTGCCGACGCTAGGACCGGTTGAAAAAAGCGGAGAGGTGGTTAGTGCACGACATGGTGTCATGGTATGAAAGAAAGCTGTACAGGACTGAGTTCTGTTGACCCTTCAATATCCCCTGGTGGGTTCCTGAAGATGTTACAACGTAGTGGCTTGAAACTATCAGAAATAATTCAGAGTAAAAGCCAGTGGCGAACCATGCTGTAACTTCCCTTCACTTTCTTCATAAAAGTCAACGCAACTTTAACTGAAGGAATTCTTTCTGGTTGTATTTTTCCTAACTGAACTGCTCTTTTCATAATAATGATAATAATGACAATCATAATTTCACTCTCATACAATAATTTTCGTTCATTGTTGATTTCCATTTTTTAATATACTCGCCTTCCATTCCCCATCTCTTCACAATTTCATTTTTATTGTTTGGCGCATATATATTTGGTGCACCCTCGTACCAATATTTATATGTTCAAATAAACAAATAAATGAAAGAATGAAGAAATGAATACTTGTTCGTCTGTCAGGTTGATTGAATTAAATTTTAATCTAAATAATTAATTCCCTCGCTTAATCTTTTGATTGTAGCATATCAGTCAGACAGCCTCATGCAGTAACATTTGTAAGGAGTCAACCAGTTTGCATACTATATACCATAATGTCCAATTTATAATCGTCACTTTTTCTATTTGTCGTTGATTTGTTCTTAATCCCCACAGGGGAAATTGTTTATGATTCATAGGCATCATGACAAAATCTCTTCGTTTTAGATTGGTAAAGCCGTTTTTCTTCTTAAAAGTTACATTCGATATCTGTTTTCGCACAAGTATACTTCAAAACATAAGTTTATCCGCGATATTTTAATCTGCCATTGTGTACAAAGATCAATTTTATTATGTCCGTTTATTTACTGCAAATTCATAACCAAGCTCAATTTTGTGTTCTCATTGTTGAGTTACCGTATGACCTATTGGTTGAAAGTAGAGGTTTTCAACCACTAAACCACAACTTCGATTGGTTTTCTTGATGTCTGTGTATGTGAAAGACGTGTATGTCATATCGTTATGCATGTAGAAGAAATGATAGAAACTCTGTTGCATCTCGTCGAATTCATTCACCCTTCCGGTGGTACGTGTTCTGTGTAGTTCATGTCTATTCAAAACTTTTCTATTTAGACTATTCTTAAGCAAGTCTGTTGAATAATAAGATTGTTTTAAATTACCGCGAGTTTTGTACCTGCAAACAAATTACTATTTAAGTGGAAAAAGTGGATTCTACTATGTGTTCGTTTGAATGCTTTATTTTTTTATATGAATCGACTAACGATATGGGAACAGCTCATGTGCACTTATCAGTAAATACAAACATCAAGAATTAATCTTTGATACACTGGACAAGCATATTTTTTTCCGTCAAACTTACTATCATTGATCTATCTTAATTAATTCAACTTAAGAAACGATCAATAAAAATTTCTGGAGCTGGCTTTCAAGCTCTTAATGTTTTTGTTACAGATCTGAGATATTGTAGTGAACAATAACACTAGTGGGGACAATCGAATGTATTTGACACGACATTACAGAGCATCTCATCTGAGAACCATATAGTAAATAGTTAATTTCAAAATATTGTAGCGGCTGTGCTTCGTTAACCAATCACCCTCGTAACCGTTACCATATAGTCCTCAACGGTGTTTGAAATCAGAAGCAGCGACCACAGTTTTATTAGTAAATAACTCAGACCACAAAGCAGAGAGGCAAAGTGAGTGAGTCAGCGAGTTGAGAGTGTAGAGTGTGTAGGTTTAAATGTATATATATATATATATATATATATATATATATAGGGAAACGAATGGATCATCGGATCAGTTAAGCAGCTAATAATAAAGCTAGCGTAGGTGGTAAGCAATGTTCAAGCATACATATTTCACACAAGCACAACAAGTTGTTTTAGTACGGATGACTCTGTCCGCTAAATAAGTTAACAAAAGGGCTTAACCGAATTAAACGATAACAAACTCAATTGCACGTGAGGTGCTATAATATCAATCCATCGACCCAAACATCACCGTTCCTTTTGCAAATATCAATCCATTGTTTCAGATTTCATTGTCCATGTGTTTTCATATCAATCGCGTTCCGTTTCGTTCTTTCCTTATCGATCTTCTGCCTGACCACTGTTATATACCACCTATATGGATATAAGTAACCTACACCATAATATTTCTTTAAATTATATTTATGATTTGTTCACATTTAATATCGATAGGTTGACCACACCGTTATAATGTACTTACTGGATCCGAAAGGACAATTCTCCGACTATTATGGACAAGTTAAACCAGTACAGGAGATAGTACAAAATATTACAGAAAAAATGAATGCATACAAAGACTAACACTTCGTATGTTTATATGTTCACATATGTATAGTGGATTACTACTCTTTTATTGTGTAATCTGTTCATTTTCAGTCAAATATAAACTACAATATTATTTACCTTTAGTAGTTAGTCTATATTGATGATGGATGGATGGATTTCTTTTATTTTACTCCCTAAATTTAATTACTTGGTATCTGAAAAATTTGTGTAGTTAATTTGACTAATCTTCGTTCACTGAAACAACTTCCTACTGTTGCCATTATAAGTAGAATTAGAAATATTTTCCGTGTATTTAACTCTATATATTTCATTAAGATCTTATACAGCGTGTCGGTGAAAGTGACCATTTTACATGGATATAAGTAGCAATTATTTGAACTTTGTTACTAATAAATACAAAAGTTCAGAATTATCACACTTAACGTCAGTGGTTTCAAGAAGAGTTATTTTGGTAAAAAGGGATATTATAGCAAAGAAAGTAATTAATTTACTAGAGATGCTAATGTTATCCAATCTCTCAACAGATCAAATAGCACTCTTCAAGGTTTATACAGTTAGTTGTTGATGAAATGATTCTCACATCTCTGCTAGATAGTGGGCTATCTTCTGTCTTGCTGAATTAATCATTAATTATATAGGTCTGAGTGGGATGTTCGATATGTGTATCTTTGATAGACCACACATGTATGGCAAATAAAACCACTTAGGCCTTTAATAACTATACGTAGAGTTGTCAGTGATTCGTTTCTCCTTCGAATTAGTCAAGTTTGCTATATTTGTCTATGCTAGTCATTTAAAATGGACTAAATTTTGGTAACCTTTATTTGGCTGCAATATTATTATCTTGTCTTTGTTTTGTAAGTGTGGCAATCAAATTTCGTGTTCATTAGACAGTATTCTCAAGTCTGAAGTGGGTGAGGTAAAGTAGTGGTTACCAATATCGGCTCATTTATATTGAAATCAACCCTTATTGTTCCCATTTACTGAATTCCAGTCCTTCAACCTGTCAAAAAGTTTGCTTATTGAGCTCTAGCATCCATTTTATCAATAGTCTTATAGGATATGAAATTTGAATCCGTATGCAGTTTCATTCTCTATTTTGTTTAATTCTAAACTCAATAGGTTATAAAAATTTTTAATTGTTACTCAAAAACCATATAACTGTTCTTTCAAAAATGTTGTCTACAGTTTTGCGAAATTTCTCGCATACTCTGTTTCGAAAATCCCGGATATAGGGTTTATTGTTAGACATAAAAGAATTAAAGACAATCCGGAAGAAGCTAGTCATTGAAAGAGGCCGCCTTTATCCATCTGAGTTTCGATCAGTCAAAATTTTGCGAAGAAATTTAGCAGAAGACTTAGCATTGGATGCTATAAAATCTACCGCGAAGCCAAACTTATAATCTTGTGTAAAACATGTGCAATCAAGAGTTGACAGATACTTCTTTCATTTTAGCAACAATTATGTCTGTGTTGGCATTACGGTTTCACTTGATGTACTGCATCTGAGAGGCTCCTGGAAATTTCTCTAAGAGGCATTATTTTCTTTAGCAGAGTCTTCAGATCATATCCCGAGAAGTCTTCGTTCAATAAAAATAAAGATGTGTAGTAGTACAGTAATTTCTAAGCGTTTCTCGGGCACGAGACATCAGGTGGACTTTATGTGATATTCCAAATTGGTTTGTAGGCAACCAAACTCTAGTCTACTAAAATCTCAAGCTTCTGCTATCAAGCATAAAAAATTGACTCGTGTTCAAAAACAAGCGTCAGGGTAACCCAAGTAACGTAACTTACATGGTTAGGTCAGATTTTTAACGTCCCTTCATTTGGTCACTTCCTCGCATCATTTCCTGGTTCTCTTTCGATAGGTTTACTTCAAACTGACTTAGCTTCATTTATTTTATTATTCTTTTAAGATTTTGTTCACTACATAATCACTTATTTCTAGCCCCTTTGGTTTGTTGTTTTGCTTTCAGTGTTCTCGAGTATCCTCCATATGACATCGTAATATTTTATTCCATCTCTTAACCTTAATCAGATATTTACCATAATAATTTCCAAGCTACATTACAATTTTGATTTTGAATATTATAGATTGTAATGAGTTGATGAGAACCTAGTTCAGAGAACTCAATACTATCGACAACGAATACAGATATTTGAATAAATCACATAATTTCCAACAACCAGTTCACCATTCATCAGTACAAATAATTGTTGAATGTATTCTTGCTATAAATTATAGAAATAAACTTAATTATTGCATCATTAGACCAATAATTTTGTAGGTTTGTAGTTCAAGTCATATGTTTCGTTAATTCTACCTATGTAAATAGCTGATGACAACAAAATGAATTCATGTTATTTTACCTCACTTATTGTTCTCTTACTGTACTCAATGTTAGATTGCCATTTCTGTGTTCACTCAGGTAAGGCGATCATGATCATCTCTAAACAAACCTAAAATCTACTAACAAAAGATATTGTATATCACTGTTGGCATGGGTTAGATTTATCTTGTTGATGCTAAGGACTGGCGGATCCCCGAATAGGGCGAGACGCATGTTTTGAATTTCATAGCTACCCAAAATACATATTTTATTCGTCCTATGATTTCACAGGTACTTTGATGATTTTAATATTCCATCTAGAATAAATAACGTGAAGAAAAGAGTATTAAAAGTGATCACACGATGACTGACAAACGAGGTTTCTATTGATATTATTATTGCTATAAATCTGTTCATTTAAACGTCAATTTAAAACTACTTATGTAGTTTATAAGTAAAAATATGCTCATATATGACAATATCAAAGTTAAGGTACTCGGCAAAATGTACAATTGATTCAATAAGAAAAATGAAACGGGAAAAACCATGTAAAGATAGTATCTAAAACTTGACGTCTGAAAGTGGTAGCTTGAAAATCAGAGAACAAATGGTCAATTTTGAATGATCAATCGGTGCATACATTTATAACAGAATCATATGTATTCGAAGAAGGGTCGATTTGAGAAATAAGTTAACATTTTAAATCTAACCGCTCATGATAAACACAACTACTTAACCAATACACTTCCAGGCATCACTAAAGTCGCCACCTTAAAGCATTGAATAAGTTTAATTTCTAGAGTCTATACAAATTTGCATGATAGGCAACAATACATAGAAGTATATATAAAAAAGCATCCTGGTTATTCTATTATAGAAAATTTCTAACTATAGTCTCTCAAGGTCATCTTAGTGTCCTCTTAGTGCTATCATTTTTTACATTTCCGCTTATCGTCTATGCACTCGTTTTATCTTTTCACTAAAAAAATATCCCTAATACAATCCAATTACAATGATGTGACTTTGTGAAATGTTGTAGAAGTATTATTCAATTGATCACCACTGTTTATGTTATAAGTTGTCATTCCACTAGGGTTTGTATGGTTCATTTTACATATTTCTTTACATTTTGTTAATAAGGATTCATCTATTGAATTAAGACGGGATATTGTTATTATTTCTTCACTTTTTGTCCGGTGATGACATAATGTTTTTTGGAAATGTTCCCGATTTCATTGATAGTAGATTGCTACAAAATAGAAAGCAAATTTAATATTTAAGTGTATGAATGGGAAGTATTAGTAAATAAAAATATAATAAACGAGTGTGTGTGAACAATTTATCATATGGTATCGAAATAGGTTATTGATTATTTTAGAATTTTATATTACGGGTAAAAAGTGATTATAATCAAACCAAATACTGTCCTTCAGGTAATCTACTTGATGGATTGAATTAAGATTAATTAAAGTGACCGGTTTATTTGATATCTGGATATAGTGTAATAGCCTGGTTCCGTATACCTTGAACATTTCGTTAAACTGAAGGATTATTAAGTTATCCCATGTGAATGAATCTGCATACTTTTTCTGCTCGTTTCAAATTTGATCTGCTTTTTAGTTATGCCTGAAATAAAATCTCTCTTAAACTTCGCATCTGGCTTGTTGATATCCAGCGGTTCTGGTGAAGTTATCACGGCTAAAATAGTATGAACTGATCAGTTGATGAGAAATACCTATGATGGCGTAGTGAAGATTAGTACTTTTTATTATACTACAAAGTGACATCGACTGATGAATTATTGAGACTGTCATCTAGTAAAATGTTCTACTCTCAGCGTAAATAAGTATATTAGTCATAACAATTGAAGTTGCAATCCAGTAGATTACATGTTACAAGTTCATGTTATAGTGATGGCTTGAAGTTGATTATCCCAAATTATTCTACTAATTCATCTCTACATAAGGCAATAGCTTAATTCAGTTCTTATGAGTATTGTAAACCTTCCATAGTAATTTGACTTCAATATAATGATACATGTACTTTTGTCTTCCTCATTGTTGTTTTGATTTATCCATTGTAGTTGACATTTTCACTATTGTATTCCTTATTTTCATTTTTATAAATGTAGTAAGTACAATATGTATTTCAGTGTGCGTTACCTACTTCGTTTTGAATAGTTAGACGTGCCACTACTTATTTGTAGTTCAAAGTTTTGTTGTATGGAAATTTCTGAAGAAAACTAGTGGTTTGATATTGATGTTTGGTTTTGAATTATAACTTCAGAAGCATTAGTTATCAAACTAGAATAACTAAATATTTATTACCTGTTATGCTACTAAAATAGCTGATGTAGGAGAGTATCAAAGGTATTACCATAGTCATAATAAGCAGAATATCACTAAGGGATTTTGTCTATGAACTGTTTTAGTAACGAGACTCCAAATATTATCTTTCCCATAATTCAAGGCTGTAATTATACAAGCAAGGTCCACTGAGACGGCGTACTTACGTTTTGGTTTTTTAACAATAATCAGTCGCCTAGAATCAGCATACTGCTTCATGTTAATACCCGTCATAGACTCAATTATTTTAAATTACAGTAATGCTTATGAAATTGATGAGTTACGTTATGTTTTTTACTTTTACTTTCTTTCTAGGTATCATTCACTTTTGAAAAAAACATTAATAGATATTCAATTTTATCTTTACTTTTTCATAAGGTGTTTTCACTGATTGTAGTTCATTATGCTTCGTTTGACATAGGAGTTTCGCATAGCGTAACAGAGAATGCGATATTATCATAAACATAATTCTATATAGTACTGACACTCATGTTCTGAAGGACTTTAGTACAATTTATTGTGGCTTTACAGTGGTAATATACGAAAATGAGGAGTTGATTAAATATCTAAGCTAAGAATTCACATAAATTAGGGATTAATATTCAGTGAAAAACTGAAAAAAGTCAATTTTAAATAATGTACATAAGTAGAATTATTATGATTACCATCGGATGGTTATTAGAAAGGTCTTTTCAAGAAAACTGAAATGTTAAAGTTGGTTTCATAATTTGACCCATTACTAATTTACAAAGATTCTTGTCACTGATTTTAGTGCATCATTATCATCATCATTCCCTAGATGATGTCTAAATATATCCCATTGTAGATATTAAAGACTACAAGTGATCAGTTTCTTTTGGCATATATGCATCCTCGGTGGATGCCATGATATTGGCTTTTTCGTTACATGAGGACTCATTAGCGGAATTTATCCGCAACTATTCAGTGTTAATACGACAAATTGCATGTCCTGAATTCCACCGCTAGTTACAGTTCAAACATGTTAATAATTCGATATAGAGGCAAATAATTCCGAAACTATTTTTTCTTTCTAGGGAATAAAATGACTTACATTTCTGTTTATTCGAACTTTTAATACCCAAACTACGATTTCTGTAATCCAAACAAGTATGCCAAAAAATAAGCCAACACCTAAACCAATAAAAGCACTGGACATTTTTGCAAGTGTCAATTTACTTCTTGATGGCAAATTTGTATGAGAACTTTGTAAATAACATGGAACTGACGCATTGTAACGTTGTAACCAGTATTGCCGCATTTTCTCCAAAGTTTGATCTTTCTGCAATTTTAATATACTTTCAGATAATAGATCTCTCAGACCGTTATCTAAAAAAGAGATGAACAAGAGTAAAGTAGATTGTTGACTGAGTACTATTTCACAAATATTTATGTAAGGACGGGCACTTGGAAATGCCTTTTTAATAATTTTGTTTCATATAGACTAGAAATACCAACAATGGTAATTATATTTAATTTAATATGAGATTGTTCAAATGCTATTGGGACTCAAAGGTTGTGACTAAGAGCAGTCCATAGTACACATTAATATTCAGTGATTATTTGATTGATATAGACATTTGTTGAAATAGCCTTCAAAATTATCAGAGATCACTTTATTTTTACACCAAAAAATAAATTTTATAATTGATCATTGTTAATAATTCTGTACCATTGTTATTAACCATCAGCTAGAAATCAAGATACCCATAGTTTAGTTTCAGTTAGATTGTAAAATTCAATAGTCAATCAAATTACATTACTAAATCCGATTTTGATATTGATGATAATGTTATTCGTGAGACATATAAATCAAGTATTTATCTGTTGGAAGATAGTTTCCCGATGAGATGAAATCAAGTTTCGCACAACTGAAAGCCAGGAAACAATGGACAGTTGTTTTAGTAAAGTTTAGAACTCCGTGGAACATACAGTCCCACAAGTTACGCTATTTAAAACTTTCAAATCACGTCACAAGCAATATACAGTATAACCTCTGAGTTAGAAAGTAACAGTCCAGATTTAATCATTCCAGTTAATCTGAGATATTGCGTGTTTATTATTTAATGCCAATTATCGCTTGATTGGGTTAGTATATTTTAAAATTGTAACCAGAAATTTATCTTTAGATAATTTCTTGTTAATTCTAGTAAGTAGTATTCACTTACTGCCTATTGGTAATCCGATTCCATATCCTCTTGGATCTAATAATCCACCAAGAGGAGTAAGTTTGCAATTACGTTGAGCATAATATTCATTAAGTGTCGATTCCAATATCAAAGCATAACCACCTTCAAGAACACGTGTAATGCCTTCTTCCGTTTTATTAACAAACAATGATTTATTCTGATTCATGAAATTCCACATTCTTTGATAAGTAGGAATATCTGAATTCTTTAAATTTCAAATAAATGGAAATAAACATTAATGAAAAGCAAATTCTTTAGAAAATTCAGAATAATTAAGGCATGTTATTGGTATTAATAATTAAATCCACTCTGTAAACACGAAAGGGAGTATTATCATTAAGAATTTACTTCCCTGTATTTAAAAATAATATGTAGGAAGTATGTGCCAAATGATTTAAATGAATATCCATACCGAAAACATAATGAAATCAAAGATAATCAGCTGGAGTCTTGATGAGATAATCCAGATGCTTTACAAGTTAGTAAAAAAATCATTCCACTGGAAATATTAATATTGGTAAATCAGCCGTCTGAGAGTAGCCTAGAAGTCCTGCCTGTTCGGAACATGTACGTTTTCATTCTTTTATCATTGCCTATCGATTTGTATTAAACTGATAATGTAAATCGGTGAAGGTTTTATAATTCTTTTCATAACATATCATATTGCTATATCACTTTATATCTTGAAGTTTGCATGTTACATTCGCAGTACAATCTCAACGAGGTAACTAGCACGGATATTTATTTATACAACTGATGCGTAGAACAAAATACATATCTTTAATCTCACTTGGTATTTTCACTAAAAGCATTGTAAACGGTCTGTTAAATTTCAAATGCAGGCAAACTGATACTCTGAAATTTTTATGAAAAGTATTAATTTCTCGGATGGATTCTCTTAAGAAGCCAAACCTGGTAATTCTTTCTATCACGACTAATCAATAATAAACTCCCAGAAAGTCTTCAGAAATTCAGATAATGGCTATTCAAGTTGTGTATAAAATATAGTTATGCGAATTGTCAGCATTTTATCAGTAAGTAAAGATTATGTTTACTTAATGAGTTACAAGACTTGTTTCATAATTACCGAGCAAATAAGTTTACTACTCTATGAATGAGTTGGTTTGTTTGATCGATATTATATACACATTAATAATGAGTGAAAATAAGCAAGAATATAAGTCTTTATATCCTTTATGGTATCGTAAAACACTTAATCAGGGCAACAGTGTAATGAATTATTAGTCTAACAATTCTTTATTAATAAACAACTATCATTTTGTAAGTATTGCAGAATTGAGAGTAAATTCATCAACTATAAATGGTTCTTACGAATAACGAGAACCTTCATTAGTATTTCTTTCCAGGATGCACACATGCCAACATGAGACTGATCAATTGCAGTCCTAGACATCAATGGTAAGACTCAAACAACCAATACAAAAATGAATTTAAACTTCTCCCCATTGCACAAGTCAGTGGCTATCTGGATTCACTAGCTAGGTGGATAACGTGTTGGCGTTTGAAACGGACGGTACTGGGTCGGAGCACCGGAGTGAGCATTAACATCCACTTGACGAGTCCGAGGTAGGACGAAACGCGAGTCCATTGCTAGCCACCATCTATCGCAACTACTTGATAGATATTGAGTAGTATACACAAAAAAGTGTATGTTTTGATTTCAACTGGAGAAATGAATTTTTTTTAAAAAACTATTTTATTAAACTTTTATTAATATTGGGCTGCGGATATTTAGGTTTCGGCAACATGAAGAATATATGAAATGAAAAGTCTAAAAATTAGTCGATGTTCATACAAGATAGACTCAATTGAATATATTTCATTTAGTGCGCTTGAAATTTTCCACATAAACAATTTTTATAAATAAAATGTTTTGCTAATGTAGTTTTGTGTCACGTTCAGTAAATTTATCTGCCGGCATATAATACTTAGAATTTCTTTCCGTAATCCAACGATTTCAGTTTATATAAGAACGTAATCATAAATAGATCCTGACGTAATCAACTATAAGGAACATGTGATATACTTTAGTAATATCAGTAATAAGTTAATAACTTTAATATTAATTATGAAACCAATTTCTAAGTCATCACGAGAATAATAGTGATAATAATTATTGAAGTCACCCAAAAGATCATTTTTTAATGAAATGATTGTCAAACTTTATAGTTATACACGTACATATTTATAATATATATTATTCAAGATATGACAATCACTAGAAAGCTCTAATAGTCGAACAAACTGGGTGATTTCCTGAATTTTTCTAACTGTAAATGTTCTACAGTTTAGATAGATACTAATTAAAAATAAAAAAGTGACTAAAATGAATGATGAAGGTATTATTGTAATTAAATGAAAGTAAATGAAGAGGATGGAAAATACTCTCTAGGTAACAACATTATACAATCTATAGTTGTCCACTACAGTTGATTATGTTGTTATTTCTTTCCTATTACGTTCTAACGTAAGTTGACATTGTTTGACTACAGAAAATAATGTTAATTATATTTTACTGGTAAACTGAGTGACCTGAATGTTACTAAATCATATTGATAGAACCTTTTTCTGTATACGGCTTAAAGCACATACAATGAGATTGATTCACTTCATCATACTATATCCATTGTTTTTAATGTACAAAATCACAGATTATAAGTAATAAATAATGATTGCAAGTAATATTTGTTAAGAATTCCTTCATTACACAATCTACTATTAACTGTTATTTGTTTTTATCTACCTTCAGATGTACGATGAATTATCGTTGTTTATTGTGTTTTCTATTAAATATTCTAAAACACATTTGGATTTCTAGATTTTCTAATATTTTAATAAACAACTATAAATATACACTTACTTTGAAAAATGAATAAGTTGAACCACCATGTATTGTTCCATATTTAATTTTTGTCTGACGTGCCAAATCTTCTACACTTTCAATATCTGCTTGCATTCTATCGATTGTTAGGAAAGCAGCTAGATTTGCTGTGTATGATGAAGTTATTACTAAGATAAAAAACCACCATATTCCTCCTATAATTCGTGTAGATGTAGCACGTGGCACAATATCACTACCTTAAGTGACGAAAAAAAGTAAATAAAAGTTATGATTAACTAATAGTTGGAATAAAAAAATGGTTCGGAGAATAATATTGTTTGCTAGTGAATCGATGCTACACGTCTCTTTATTACTGATTATTCAATGAGGTTCTGGTTGAATATACACACAATTACACTTAATCCATTAAATTGCATCTTTTAAAAGCCGTTGTTTTGGACAGATTACAAGTTGATATAATATTTAATTTTCAGGTAAGGTTGAAGATAAATTAATTATTACAGTATGACTCAAACAGTAAGTTAGTTCCAACTTTGAATATGAATTCAAATTATGGACTTATTCTCTATTTATTAAATTATTTAATGGAATCTTAAGTAGTACTTGGATTCAAGCTATCCATTTTAGCTGTGGTTTGGCAATTTCTATAGGATTCACTTTGATTTTAGCGGAACCATTTACAATATAGGTATCATTACCAAGATTCGACTTGATAATTTCAAATAAATTGAGGATTGTATAGATTGTTAATAATAAAAATAATATATTTGCAAGGTCCCAGTGAGTATAAAAATTAAATGTTCTGACGTTTCATGATAAAATATTATGATTAAACTGACACAGCCAATTATTAGTTATACTTTTAATGATATGATCAATACATAAGGTTAACAGTTGAAAAATGTTCAATTTCTAATGTAGGAGTTTGTGTTGACTATAGAATTTTTTTACATCACGCAATGACCTTAGTCACACATTAATTGAAAATCAAGAAGTACTAAGTAGCTGTTTGGTTTCAGTATGTGACGCTTCAACGGTGCGAATCTGCGACCTCACTAGGAGGATCTAATTCAGGGCTTTCAGGTGTTGCGGCAAGCGTTTGGCCCCTAGACCACCGAGTCAACATCTGATAGTCTAAATTTCCAACTTCAGTCAATTCACGACCGTGCTCAACTATCACCGCCGTCGGTGGGCATGTGCTTCATATAAGGAATAGCCGAAATATACTGCCAACGAACTGTCACAACAAATCCAGGAAATCTCAAAATTAGTTACCGGTAAGTATACCGTCATTTTTATGGGTATGTAGTTGTCCAAAGTCAGTCCATGATGTGAATTAAAAAGAACTATTCTTCTTTGGTGTTATCTTTGATATGGGGAGCCAACCAGAAGTAGTCGTGTTTTGGGTTTAATAAATCTTCACTTGAATCAGTCTTGGTGTTCTTACTTTGCTTCGTGGGAATTGCAGTGGTTCCTCGTTTTACAAGTATAAATAGTAAGCGATTCCGACATAATAATTAGTGACGACCAATCACAACAGTTTCTGGCGATGGCATTTTTGTCAAACCCAAATCAAAATAAACAAAAACCCAGAATGTCGACTTCAGCAGATCAGCTTAAATGTATTTTTCAGGAACGGCAAAAACAATTTCAAGCATCACAATTGAAAATGAACGGAATGATGCCACAAAAGTTGTCAATTCAAGAAAATTCAGGACATTCGTTGGAACTAAGGGGCTCAACTACCGTAACAGTGATCAACTCAATGAGCGAGTTTCATTTTGATCCTGATTCTGAAGTCACATTTGAATCGTGGTTAAAAAGGTATGAAGACATATTCGAAGTCCAGTTTTATCATCATAATGACTCTTCGATGGTGAGGATTCTACTTCGTAAGCTTGGAGCAGATGAACATGGAAAGCACTCGAATCTTATCTTTCCAAAGAAACCTAACGATTTTTCTTTTGACTATACTGTACAAACACTAACAGAAATGTTTGCTCATCAGACTTCCTAGCTCGAACCTGCAACTAGATGCAGTCAGTTTGGACATCAGGGTCAGCGCGGAAGTAGTGATGGCCAGATTGCAAGAACATCATCAAGAAAACGACAGTTCCCCCGACGCCTTCAGTTAAATCCAAGGAGCAAGACTTATTTTTCAAGAGGAGAGTCAGTCAGAAGTAGCCTGATGAAAAGGTGATTCAATGTCACTCAGAACTCACTTAAAGATCAAGTGATAAGGATATATATATATATATATATATATATATATATATATATATATATATATATATGAATGAGTATTTGTGCATTTCGTTCGCTTGTCCAATATACTTCCTCGCTCAAGTAGTCAGTCGAAGAGTCAGTGCATAGAATATTGTGTATCAGTATCAGATGTCGGACACTGCATGTCACAACAATCTTCTAAAGTTCTTACTTCCTTACGAAAACTTTTAATATTCGATTGAGCACGACCACTTTTGAATATTAAATTAGTCAATATGTTAATATGTTTTGTAAAAAGTTCCTTCAATATTTACTGATTTTACAGAAATTATCCAATAATCTGTCATTTTAGTATCAAACAGTTAGTTTACATCAGGTTTCACTTATACTTTCTTGATAGGTTCATATTCTTATGATACTTAATAACACTGAGATGAGCATATCCACCTTCCAAGAATACTTACGAGTTCGTACCTTACTATCAAATTCAATCTTCATAAATCTTTTAGCAAATAAAAAAAACGGACTCAAACTGAACTAATCAGTAAGATGTATAAAGTTTGCAATTACTGTGTAAATTAATGAGTTAAATATAGTTTACATCAATTGATACAACATACGTAAAGTAAATAAATCATTTTAACATTTGGCAATTTCCAATAGTTTCTATTATTAATAAAAACAGCAGAAAATCAACCTCACTATAACAGATAAGCGATAAATCCAATATATATCCTTATGTATAACATTAAAATTTCTTACCATAATTATAAAGAAGTGTAATAAATTCATTCTTTTCATATTACTCAATAAGATAACTTCAGAAGAAAACCACGAACACATCATGAGTAAATTTGATAATCCATTACTACTAATATTACTACTGTAGTTATATATATATATATATATATATATATATATATATATATATATATATATATATAGGTGTATATTCGTATCTACGTATATAAATTTTAACTAAAGTCAAATTGAACAAGTAAATCGGTCATCTTGAGGACAGTTAATTTTAATCCATATTCTAATGTCTATTCACTTTTTTTCATTGTTACTATTCAATGTTTATTATTTCTAGGAGAAATTTATTTGAAACCTTCTCTACAAGTTATCTCATTATATGAATTCAATTATATAATAATAATAATAATGATCATTGTATGATTTTCATGTTGTGTTATGTGAATAGTAAAATTTTATTCAAGTAAAAATATTAAGAAGAAGAAGAAAATGAAAATAATAGGAGAATGATTGAAATGTTTATCAAGATTCTAACCAACCAAACTAATCAATTATGTTTATTGTCAAAATGACTTTTTTTTGTTTCTTGGCAGATGTTTAACTAGAAGATTATAATTAATATTTTTCAAAAAAAAAAAAAGAAATAACTTTTCATTTATAAAATGTTTTGATGCTTATTTATAAGCAAATGAGTAATTCACTTATAATTAAATATATAGTCTGGTAATTTAAAAAGCTATGGTATACTGTTTAAGTTTAAGGAAAGTAAGCATATTTATGAAATTTAAATTAATTATAATATGAGAAGAGCGTTTTGTGGAGATTTTAGTAATTTTATAGTTGAATTCATGAGTCAATTGAATCTAGACCACCATGAGAAACCTGGAAGCACTCGACGGTCGTTTCGTCCTAGTGTTGAACTCATCAAAAGTGCTGATCCACAGTCCCTTCAAACGAGATTCGAATCCAGGGCATATAGGTTTCGTGTTTGAATGCTTAGCATCTAGACCACTGAGCCGGTATTTAACTGTGGTAGGGTCCAACTTCAACCAGTTAAGCCATCATTCACCATTGCCTTCAGTGAGTTACTAACTCACAATAGACCCTGTTGAACTCCACTGGTTACTGCTTCTTACTAGAACTTCAGGAAATACCTCTAGAAGCCTACCACTAGTAAGCAAATAATTATGATAGTTTCAATTAATTGAAAATAATGGTTCTCCAGCAGTTGTTATTTCATGTAATCGTCCTCTTTAGACAATCAATATGAATATTAATCTTGACTATCTTAAAGTTCTCAGTCAGAAAGTTTGGATCTTATCAAAAAATATAAAGAAATATTTAATAGCTTTGAGTACTGATATGATTTTACGTGAAAATTTGATTACTTTTTACCAGTTTCTATTTGACTGAATTTATGTTATTATCATTTAATGAACTTGAAATAAGAACAGTCTTAATATTATAAGGAAAATATTTACTTTTTTTCCCATTCTGTTTTATCAATTAATTTAAACTTAACAACAATGCACAAAAAAAAACGTAGAAAGTATTATAGACAGACGAATAATCTGGTAGCATATTTCCCTGAAGATAATCTAACTTGATTGTAAGTACATTATCTTAATAGAAGTGAAATTATTCGTTAAATATTTTAATAGGACAGACTCTATAGTTTTAACAGTATAATCATTTCATACATTTTGTATAAGTTAGATAAAAGATACAGGTCAGTTAGTTGGACTTTTAAGGACATATATTTATTGAAGGTAGAAAGAAAAATAATAAGTAGATAGGGTTTTTCAAAAATTACTATTATATGCAAATGAGTAGATTTATATTTTAGCGTGAATACGATTTTCATTTACAGATCAAAATCGAAAAATATATAAAAATGAATAGCGTCATTAAAACTTGGAAAAACGGCGAATCATAGTTTATATCACCTACTGACTTCAGTTTAACAACCATTAAAAACCTAGAAGCATTGGACAGTTATTTCATTTAAGTATAGGATTTATCAAACATTCACATTCACAACCCCACCAGGACTTGAAAGTAGGACCTTTAGGCCTCGAGGAGAGTTATCAATTTATCAGCAATTCCAACGATTGCTGACCGAAAAGTATTGAGACCTAACAAACTGAAAATGTAAATCATTGACATCTCAATGGTCTTAAAGTTAAGTACTCGCCACGAGGTCTAGGTTTGATCACTTGAAGGGCGATGAATATTTACTTTTCAAAGTCCAATACTATGACAAAACAGCTGTCCAGTACCTAATGGTTTTCAATGGTTGCCTAACTAACGTTACTCCCTGATATAAACTACAAATTCAACAATCTCCGTAACTACATATACTAAAACAGGATCAGTCTTAGAAAATGCTATCATGACCTAATACAAACTAACTAGTTACTGATATATATGGAAGTATTATGAATTTATTTGTTTTCAGTTTGAAATTACTTAAAATGTTATACAGGATAATTTGATGGGATCAGATCCCAAAGCTCCTCACTATACTTGAACAACAAACAATTTAGATTGTTAAAAAAAATCGTTGCAAGATAAACAGTATGCACAATATCAGTTATTTCCTTTATATTATGAGTACATGTATATATATGTACAAACCTTCAAGCTTAATATCCAGCTCACAGTAATTACTTCTGAAAATAGCTGAAGATATGTATGTTATTGAGACTTAGTAATTCACTGATAAGTTAGTGCATGCATTATTGTTTGCTTGGTCAATTCTCTTCACTGAGTTAGATGAATCTTACTGTCAAGATTTGTCTTTTATTTTTCGAATTGTATGGAGCCAAGAAACAAGTTGTTCATTTTCAGTCTTTGAGCCAGTCGGTTCTCATAAAATCCGTTCATCACTATCGTAGGTAGATTGATAAAACTTCCGGGCCACCATCTTCCTAAACATCCATTTATTGGCTTAAATGTTTCCGTTTTATATTTATTTATTTAAGCACATAAACATTGGCACAAGGAGGCACCAAATAGACATGCGCCACATAAATCAATCGATTTGTGTGTAGACTATCATACTGCCTAAGTGCCCAAACACAAGCACGTGGTTTCCTCAGAAGGACACACTCTGAGCCTTCGATATAAAGGTATAATCCATAAGGCAGTCGACCAACGTCAGAAGATGCAGTCTCATGGTAGCCGATGACCAAACATAGGTTCATACGCCATTTGTTCCTTCAAACTACTGGAGTCCATTTGGACCATTGGTTTGGAATCACGGTTTTTCAACTCTCCTAGATGGATCCTCCGTATCCACCAACCCGGTTGAAGCATTGGACAATCATTTTTCATCCTTCCATTTTCGCAAACGACATCCCACCACGAGAAGGCAGTGAGTAGGACTTCCCTGTCAGTGGTTGTATGCACATGGACACGCGAGAGCATTTTGAGAGGGAGAGCTGATTCTCCCCACTCTCGGCCATCGTACACGTGTACTTACACACTTCCACAAAATGCTTACCACCTATTGACAGTCTCATTATTAAGAAAGTAAAGAAGTAACATCACAACGGTACGCATATTTTCATTTGTCTTTGTCGTATGAAGGAACACAATATTACTTTATCGTTCCTATTTCAAATATATTTCCTAATGAAAATATATTTCGTTGTAGCAAGGCTAGCAGCATACGTTTACAAGTGCTAATCACTGTTTAAAAGCTTTACTTTTTTTACATAGTTTTTGATTATTTACAAATTGAATACTTAAAACTAGAAATGTTGTTTCAGTTTCGTATACTTTGTCTTAAAAAATTACTCGCTGTAATGAAGCATATGGTATAAAATGAAGTGAATTTGATTAATAAAATTTAACAAGATCTATCGTTTATAATACGTTGTTATATATAATGGTTTTACATTTGATAACTTACTTTGTTGCATTAATGATCCTGCAGTAAACCAAAAACTATTTCTCATTGTAAATTGATTTTGTATTTTAGGATAGCATGGATGTCTAGCATACCATTCATATGGTGAAACACGTCCAATTAAAAATAATGTTAAACTAACAACAAAATAAGCAATTCCAACTGATATCCAAACCTAAAATAAACCAGAAATTGTAAATAATGTTAAGAGTAAATTCAATTCAATTATTATATATGATATTCTCAATTATGTTATAAAGAATTCGATTGTTTAAAAATCTTTATAAATAATTCGAAATATAAGGAATATTTAAGTAAACAATGGTTTTCAATATCGTTATCATCAGGTTTTCTACAATATATAAATCTACTCAAAACAAGACGTACATTAATAAATTGTTATCGACTTTGATTATGTTACTGACAGGTTACTGAAATAATGAGCTTATTTTTATTATATTATAGAGTCTAACAATGAAGTTATTGAAAACGATTGTTTGCACAGAATATTCCTTGATTTCATTTACTGGTAATTCAACGAAAGGGTGTTTTTGATGAATTGTTTATTCATGGTACCTAATATAATTGGTAGGAGAGAAAGAAGTTAACTCACAAGTACTAAGAAATAGATATCAGCTTTTATTTGCTGAACGTATTATATTGATAGCAAATTATTCATGTCATACGAACTATGACTCACTGTTTAATGTTAACTTCCTCTATAGTTTCTAAGTTATAAACTTAATATTTTAGAAATGAATAAATTCTTGAATTCATGCTAACAAATCATATTTTAATTTTCGATAAAAATATTGCTAAGTAAACATAAATCCACGTGTAAGTGACGGAATCTTATACTATACTTTCAATCATATTGATAAGTTTTGTTTTTCGAATTTGTGGTACTGAGAATGAAACTTTACGTCCCCTCCACCTGCAGTAAGTTCTTTCAATTAGATTATTTGAATAAACGCTGGCATCTTGGCAGAATTTGATAGAACAAAATTTTTTTATAAATCAAGTAGTCAGTAATAATTAGTAGAAGTAGATGGATCTAAGTTTTGTACCTGTCCTTATTTATAAATGAAATTTATCTACAACTTTAAGCAGATAATCACTTCAGTTTTAGTTAGTTGATGACTAATAATTTCATTCGGCTAACTGATGCATGCTGACAGATATGAATTCTAAATTTTAATCTCTTACTGTTATGTTAGATTTCAGACCCACATTTCTCTGATAAGTGCTAATAAACCTGAATGGATACAACTAATGGTTTCTGCTGACTACTTTTAACAATGGAACATCAAATTTAATAAGTTATCGCATTAATGCATCTAATTTATTTGATTCATTGCATAGTTTGTCTGTGGTTAAAACTAAGTTGTAAGTCCGTTATATCACTGACCTCTGGATAACATAAAATGTGGTACTAAGGATAATGAGTCAAATAAAACAATGATTCACTTTTTATGTTGCTGTAATAACTATCTACTGGCTAAGATAGTGAACAAATATACAGTTTAAAATATTTTTTCTGTTTCTGACACTAGTTCTTATGAGATCCTAGTGGACGTTTAACCTTTAGACTTGAAACCAGAAAGTGCTGGGTTTGTTCCACATTTGTGTCATAGGGAGGCATTCATAAGAAGTCTCTTGATTGTGTGAAACAGCTGTCTAATGTTTCCAAGTTCTTAATAGTTGTCTAATATAGATAAGTTCATGATCTCAATAGCATTAATTCATCTCTACAAAACCCTAAACTGAAAAGTACTTTCTTATAGAATTTGAACAAAATTTAAGATTTTTCATCATACTCTTCAGTTACAACAAAATATATGTTGTTAGATCAACTTTAGATATTCTACATGTTTTCTAAAATGATCATTCCAATATAGAGAAATATTACAGTTTTATTTTAGATGATAGAACCGATTTCAGGATGATACTTAGAAACAACTACATTTATGTAAACAAATATTTGAGAAAAGATATTAGTCAAACGAAATAACGATTTGTTTCATTTTATCATTGTATTCATGTAGTTTAAATATTTTTATCTTTTTCAGATATCCGAATAATTAATATAATATCATTCTGTTTCTTACATTTAGATTTGGATAAAGATAATGTGATACTCTTAGAAGAAAATGTTTTCCAATTGGATAAATTACTTGAAAATCAATCATTAACTTATAACAAAATCCCATCAACGAATTGAAATATTTACACATCAGAGTTCTAATAGTAGCTGAGATGGATTTAAAAAAAACAGAATTAGTGTATTATCAAGATCTAAACATTTTTAAACTGTGTACGTTTCTGATTAATAGAAATCATAAGTCAGAGAGGGGTTTTGTGGATATTATGGTAATTTTTAATAGTTGAATTCATGAGTCAATTGAAGCTAGATCATCATGGAAAACCTGGAATCACTGGACAGCTGTTTTATCCTAGTATGGGTCTCCTCAGCAGTGAGTGTCCACGTTCCCTCCACGCGAGATTCGGATCCAGGATATATATGTCTCGCGTGTGAACGCTTAACCTCTAGATCACTGAACCGTCATCCGACGGTGTTAATGTCTAACTCCAGCCAATCAGAGAAATTGAGCCACTGTCCACCATTGTCTTCAGTGAGTTACTATCTCATAACAGACCCGGTTGAACTCTACTGGTCACTGCTTCCTACTAGAACTCCAGGAAATACCTCTTGAAGCCAGTCATCAGTGATCAAACAGTGGTGGCGCAATTTTGTGGAATGGTTGAAGTTAGACATTAACATCGTTAGATGCTGGCTCTGTGGTCTAGAGTTTAAGTGTTGGCGCGCGAGACTGATAGGTCTTGGGTTCGGACCTTGCGGGGCAGGAATGTCGATATGCACTGGTGAGGAGTTCCTTAATAGGACGAAACAGCCTTCCAGTGCTTCCAGGTTTTCCATGGTGGTCTAGCTTCAATCGACTCATGAATTCAAGAAATAATTAGATTCACTCTTATTCATTTACATTAGCTGTATTATTTTTATTGTTTGACTAAGAGAAAAAAACCTTTAGAAATGGAAAACTGTAAGTTGGACAAAAAAACTTGGAAGATGACTAATTTTATTCGTTTGATATCTTTCTTTTTGTCCAGTAATATATTTGATGTTTGGCCTTTATCCTCTCTCGTTTTCCTGACGAACATAGCAGGAGGTAAATTTACCAATAACTGTTATCCTTCTGCTTGAATTTTTCAGTTATTAACTTTGCGACAGATTGTCAGTCTTTTGTAAACAGATGGGAGTAACTGCAGTTAAAATTTATAATTATTCAGTTAAAATAAATATTTTATGGAAAACTTTACCACAACGTTCGTTTGAGTAGTTAGTCTCTTGACATCCCAGCCAGAATGTTCAGTTATGAGAATTCATATAGCCTTACAGTCCCTTGACATCTTAAATAATTCTGTTCGTATAAAAAGACGTCAAATGATTTACAATAATTAGTCATCTTGTATTAACCAATGCAATGCAGTTTAGTTTTTAACCCCGATCAAATTCTATCTATTGTTGCAACGTGACGGCTAGTTTTAATGACTAAACAGTATGTTGCTCTTCGTGTGATGTTAGGTATTTAGTGATGATTCATATGAATTCCTGAACATAGAATTCTTACTGAATGGCACTCGGTAGTAAAGCATGTCTTCGGTCCTGGTAATACTGACACTTACTATGGGATTCAAACCCACGTCACTGTTCAAGTTGTTGGCACTGACTTAATCAGATAATGACTAGTGTTTTTTTGGACTGTACTCTTTACTCTATGGGGTCACTGATTAGTAGCCGAGTACATGATATATAGTTCTAATAGATGCTTGTATTCTTTCTATAAAAGTGCTTTTATTGATGTTTTAAGCCAGTTTAATGCTTCAGCTAGACTAACTCATGGATAAATGAAATCATATTCAGATCAAGTTTGTTTCTTGGTATATGTACAACTTATGCTTTAATTATACTTACTATTCGTGAAAAACTATGGAAGCTCAAATTTTATTTTGTAGGCAATCACACGAATATTCAATTTAGAAGTAAGAATAGATCAAAATATTTGTTAAATCAACATTAAGTAGTATGATCATAAGACTTATTGGATTCATAAATTTAGCCTTTCTTGCTTATTTTTATTCCATGTGAATTTTCTAATAAAATCACACTAATAAGGTTATCGGTAGAACACATGTTTCCTTTTCTTCTGTCTATATTAGTTAGTATGATAAATTTAAAATCTCTAGAAAAGGGAAAAATCAAAGTAATTTAATTAATGGTATTAATCAAATCATGCAACGGTTATATAGGGGTTATTAATTAAGGTTAACAAAACTAACATATTTGTTTAGAAATAAACTTTCTTATTTTGACGAACTAATTAACAAATTAAAGCATCACTCAAATCTAAACGCCCCTGAATGCCCTGGCACGACCGAGGGTGGGGAGAATCAGTTCTCCCTCTCAAAATGCTCTCGCGTGTCCATGTGCATACAACCACTGACAGGGAAGTCCTACTCACTGCCTTCTCGTGGTGGATGTCGTTTGCGAAAATGGAAGGATGAAAAATGATTGTCCAATGCTTCAACCGGGTTGGTGGATACGGAGGATCCATCTAGGAGAGTTGAAAAACCGTGATTCCAAACCAATGGTCCAAATGGACTCCAGTATTTTGAAGGAACAAATGGCGTATGAACCTATGTTTGGTCATCGGCTACCATGAGACTGCATCTTCTGACGTTGGTCGACTGCCTTATGGATTATACCTTTATATCGAAGGCTCAGAGTGTGTCCTTCTGAGGAAACCACGTGCTTGTGTTTGGGCACTTAGGCAGTATGATAGTCCATACACAAATCGATTGGTTTATGTGGTGCATATGTATTCGATGCCCTTTTGTAGCAATATTTATCTGTTCAAATAAATAAATACAGAAATAATCTAAGTAGCATTCTAACCCAATGTAAATGTTGAACTTTAGTAGAAAATAGTTGGAGTTCTTGATGGAGTTTTGTTGTCTAAGTTGGATGGTTTGGTCGCGGAGCTTTCATCGTCCGTCTGGACGACATCATCAGCAAATCTTTAGATAGAAGTTCTCAATTTAAAAATGTATTTTATAAAATCTGGTTCACAATGCAGTGACACAAGAGCAGACTAATATGTGGAGGCAGAGATGTACTGATTCTGGTTTAAAATAAAAATAATGGACTTTAGTTGGTTTAATTATGCTGATATCATCATGTGCTTGGGTATCAGCTAAACAATGGATGACTAAACAGTATTTATCGAACACTTGGGATCTTTTTTCATATTTATTGAAACATTTCGTGATCAAAGATTTGGTTTGAAATCTGGTGTTTCAAATTGATTCTAGAAAATGTTGTTGATAAATATTTGTTTAAATGATTTTTGAGGCGATTTTGAAAGTGTGTTCATTAATTAACATCAGCTAGAAAACTAGGAAACTAGGGTGCATTGGACAACTGATATGACCTGGTTTGTGAATCCTCGTTAAACGACACCTTGATTTTCAGTGGTTCTTCTATTGATGTCAGTTTGTGAGAAAAATTACATTTAAAATTTATTTCCCCCCTACTAATATTTTTGGCTAAAATATAGACAAATTCAGAGGAAGATAAAACCCTGAAACAATGAAGTGATGAGATTAATGATTCACTGGGTAATGTGTTGGTCTAATTAGTTTATACTTTGAACTTCTTTTGGGTCACATCATTTTAGAGACGTTTTGTTGTTCGTGCTCAATGCGTTGTAGAGATTAAACAAATATAGTAGTTCAACATCTTTTTATAATATTGATGTACTGTATGCCACTCGAATTAACTCATGACGAAAACACTATCTAGCTTAAAGTCCCATTTCTTTATAACAATCAAAAAGTCATAAATGAATAATTGTAATGAGTAAATTGAGGGGTTTTACTGAAAAGCGGTGACTGGCTGAGTTCATTCATGGCAGATTACCGAAAATATTTTGAAGTTGATAATAAACACCACTGGCTTCATCCATAATGATGTAAGTGCCCTTGTCATGATATTCATAATTATCGAGCTCAGTTTACTGGTGCCTGGTGGGTGCACATTGTTTATGGGTACCGGACTAGAATGTCCTCTGGTTTACAACAGTTTTTCAGCTGAGGTTAGGTTGTGATGAAAATACTGGCTTATCGACTTTTATATGTTAATGCGAAAAATTTACAAAAGTTGTGTTTTTGTAAGAATAAACAGTTTAAAACATGCTAGGATTTATATCAAATTCTAATAAATGGTTGTTCATAAGAAAAGAGCGATATGTTAAGGTTACGCATTGTTCAAATCAATCTAACTCCATATTTATTAGTCATATCTTTATTATATAAAATTTTATATTTCTTGATTCACCATATGTATTTATATGTATATGCGACGAGAGATAGGCTTATTAAAGTAGAAGATAAAACGTTGGGTTTAGAAGAGTTAGGTGTTTGGTTCTGCTCTTGGTATAAACATCAACACTGGAAGGCAGGTACATTCAGACTTCTGAGTAAGTGCTAGTAACGAGACAGTTCACTTAGAACATATGAGACAAAACAGACTGACCAATTGCGATCCGTTATGTTAACAATTAGAAAATATCGATAGAACAATGAGAAGACGGAGTTGATCAGATCAACTCCGTCTTCTCATTGTTCTATCGAAATTTATAAAAGGGACTAACTGCTTTAAATTAGAAAATACCCTTACAAACCTGTTTGTAATTGTTTGTTTTCCCACTACAGTTGACAATCATTTATAGGATTCTTTGTCTTTATGAATAATTCAGTGTAGTAACTTGTACTAATATATTTGTTCTGAATTGCTTATGATTAGAAATAAATGGATAATTTAATTGCTCCTAAAATATTTCCTAGTCCCATCACCAGTTTTATCCTAATTAACAAATACTGAGAAATCCATAAATAGTATAAAACAGCAATCTGGTGTCCCTCTTTTGTCAGTCGTTATCAGTCTGTAATGAAAATAATATTTCAAGGCATGATAATTCTCTATAAAATTTATTGAAATTATGAATTTCTAATACTAATTTAACATTTTTATAAGTGCAAGCAAGTAAACTTACTTCATTTGATAATGGTGCCGTAAATTGTAATCCAGGGTCTGAATTACTTTTTTGTATGATAACACTTAGAGATAGACTCATAAATGGTGTAGTGAAATCAATCACACGTTCTCGATCATAAGTAATGGTGAAGGAGGCTACTGCAAGATCTGCTTTCTGAAAAGAAAAGAGAACGATAAAAAACAATCAGTTTGTTCAGACTGTATTTGTTTATTTTACATTAGTGACATTTAATTTTAATATATGAAGGGGTTTTGTGGATATTATGGTAATTTTTAATAGTTGAATTCATGAGTCAATTGAAGCTAGATCATCATGGAAAACCTGGAATCACTAGACGGCCGTTTCACCCTAGTATGGGTCTCCTCAGCAGTGAGTGTCCACGTTCCCTCCACGCGAGATTCGGATCCAGGATATATATGTCTCGCGTGTGAACGCTTAACCTCTAGACCACTGAGCTGGCATCCTACGGTGTTAATGTCTAACTTCAACTAATCACGAAACGACCTTCCAGGTTTTCCATAGTAATCTAGCTTCAATTGACTCATGATCTCAACTATTAAAATTTAATTTTAACTCTGTACTACAAAAATAATCTCTTTCTAACTTTGTTTCACTGTTGGTTCGTTAACAGTTTTCTATAAATAAAATTACAGTGTTAAAAAATGTAGATAATTAAATGAATTGGCTTCCTCTATTTACCTAATTTTCTCCCCGTAAAGACAGATGTGTATGTGACTTGATAAATGTTGGTTTCATATACATACTAGTTAACACTTTATTGTTTTGTTATTCTCTAAAATTTATTATTCACTGGTTCTTAAATCTTAGTAAATAAATGGTTAAGTTAAATCTAGTAGCTCTTACATTAAAATATGTAAGTCACAATTCTTTGTACAGACAGTTATGTAGAATTTATGATCTAAATCATTTAGAGAAATTACGCTTGACAAACGTTTTCAAGTGGTAAGATTAGACAAAGTTGTCAAGTGACCTTACTCAAAGTTCTCTTTAATCAGAAGCTAATGATTATAAGCTTTGATTAGTTTTTTTTTTGCTAGATGTTCAATTTTAAAGTTCTCCTTCATGAATAAATGAACTTGCATTTGTATATAAATTCAGTATAACAAGATAAGAATTTAAGTAGTTTAAATAGCTTCTTTTTAAAATCTAAAACTCATTATGTCCATGAGTTAGATAAGAATTATTAAAAACTTCAAGAAGATCAATATTAATTGTCAATTTGAAGACAACTACTGGTTTAAAATCAGTGATTTCCATCCATTGTTGAGTGTTTTTTACCCAAACATCTAACTCTGCAGTCAGAGTGAAACTGTATTATATAATTTTGAAATTTGAACTTTATTCTTTTTTACTTCCTTCTACATTATTTGGTCATGCGTTAAAGTTTTTGTTCTCTTTGTCTTTTTCTAATTGTCTAAGTGGAAGTTTTTGCTTTAAATGAGTTCTTTTAGTTTTATTTGTATACTGTCTATATTCTTTGTTTTGTCAATGCATAGACGTTTAGGTTTAGATAATTAGGTATCTTTTTAATCGTGAGTCAGTTGAGGTTGCAAAATCTTACACTAATATGAAGAAATGAAAATTACAAGAAATTAGGGTCAATTCAAGATGTCATCACAAAACTGAGATCGTACTACAAACGATACATGGAAACTGACCTAATGACGTCTGAATGATGGATAAATCTCTTTTGTTTCAGTTTATTTGAAGACTCAAGGTATTGATTTCAGATATTCGGATAGTACCATTTGTGAATATAATATTTGATTTTTAAAAATCGTACTATGGATTCTGTTCATATTCGGATACTGTACGATCGTATTTAGTAAATCAATAACTTTGCAAACTCGATTGTTATTCTTACCAGTTATTCATTTTCAGCAAATAAGTATTACAAATTCTATTTTAAAGCTAACCTAAGCTACTTTGACGATAAGTTAATAAAGCTAAGTTACTTCTGATTTTATGTTATATTACGTATTTTGAGGGATGATTACAATTTTCTGACTAAACTGATGATCAAATGTAATATTTGTTGTGTTCAGTCTCTCTTTAATATCAGTTATAGATGTGTAATTATACAAGTGTTTTAAGAATCACAAAAAGGAAATCTACTTGGTTAAGGTTGTTAGGTACTAATTTAATTGACTGACATCATCTATTTATTTAGCAACAATTAATGCTTTTCAACAATCTACTTTTGCAGAAGTTGATATTGTAAGTCAACACCTGAGATTATGCAATGTGTCTATGAAATATCGTAAGCTCATAAAGTAAAAACTAAGTTTGGATGATGTATTTTACATTCATCGTTCTTACTAAATGTAAATAAATTATATTTGTCTTATCTATTTAGCCTCAGCCAAATTCATTGACATTTGTTATGCAATAGAACCAAGTAATGAAATATATTTTCCTTTTACATCATAAATGTTTTAGGTGACTGAAGTCATATTTCTTGTGTGGAATCAATTATACTTTATATTATCACAAGTAACTTACTTTATAGACAAGATCACCGATTAATCCATCCCATTTCCCTTTGCTTTCATCAAAAGTTCCAAATTTTTTATCACTGACGGGTTTGATAATATAATCAAAATGATTCATTTTGCTTAGATGTTGTAATAGTTCCATCGCGAATCCTGTCCATTGGTCATTGCCTTCTAGATGTACACCTTGACGATATGGTTCGAATATTACAAATGGAGGATCCTACATTACAACATAATTAATTGTACAATTAGAACAATTAGGTTAACTCAAGTATTTCTGAAACGACTGAACTTCAAAAAATTATGAAACTTAGCTTATTAACATTATGTTTTATTTTCCGATGTTTACTAGTATACCATTGAATATAGGTAATTTCACCATAATTTATTGAATAATGTAGTTTGAACAACTCAATACACATCATGATGAATAAAAAGTAACTGAAAATTTGCTTATAACGTGGATGAGTTCAGTCTCTGATAAACACCGCATGCAAATTGAATAATTCTTCACAAGACTTACATCAACGCTAGATATTTGGTTGGATGTTCTATGGAGATTCGTACAATATGGTAAACGAACTTTGTGAAGTTTGAAATAACCCGAGGAACTAATTATCACTATTTAATGTTACAGTTAGACACATAAATAAACTTCTATTTAAGTGGCACCACTGGGTAAAGCTTTTCACTACGACCTCTGAAAAATCAGTAGTATGAATAAAATTTTTAATTAAGTGATTCGTAACTCCAAAATGATTGTTATATATATATAGTGGTATAATGATTGTTTTCTATTGTTTTTTGAACCCCATTATTAAGTGTAACTTAGTTTGACAGATATGAAAGTTTTTGGTTGAGATCATGAATCAATTGATGTTAGACCACCGTTGGAAACCTGGAAGCACTGAACGGCCGTTTCGTCCTAGTATGGGACTCCTCAGCAGTGCGCAATTTCGTGAGTTGGTTGATGTTAGACACTAACACCATTGGATGCCGGCTCAGTGGTCTAATGGTTAAGTGCTCAGGCTCGAAGCCAGCAGGTCCTGGGTTCGAATCCCTCGGGGTGCGGGATCGTGGATGCGCACTGCTGAGGAGTCCCATACTAGGACGAAACGGCCGTCCAGTACTTCCAGGTTTCCAACGGTGGTCTAACATCAATTGATTCATGATCTCAACCAAAAACTTAACAATCTCCACAACCCCCATACAGATATGAAAGTAACCTGTTAACATGAGAAAAATATTCAACACTAGTAAGTGATTTCGTAAATAAATTTGAATCAGTTTTTAATTATATTTTGGCTTAAACCTATTAGAAATCATATCAATTAGTATCAATTCGATTTACAGATAAATCAATTCGTGAGTTAACATCAACTTTTGCTTGCGTGTTCATGAAGTTGTTGATTAGTTTTCATTTCACATTATATTATGGATTCGATGCAGTGACTAGGTTGCCACTGTTGCTAGCTAATACGTCTATATGTTAAACAGCAATTGATGAGCGAGTTCTCAAAAAAGTATCAGTTCCTTCACAGGTGTAGATAGAGCTAAATAAATAGAATGTGGTCAGTGCTCATGGTAAAATCAAATTGTACTGGTTGGTGTTTGTTGTTTTGTTTTTTGGTAGTCAGTCAGTGATAGTTTATGAAGATCTGCTGAAGATTGAGGTTATTTTTATTACGGAATAACGTTGATTATTTGTCCATTGAGAATCAAGGATCACTTGAAAGCTTTTTCTTTGTAAATCTTCAAATCACAGGGCTTACATCACGTATAATCTTCAGATTACATTAGTCAAGAGAAATTGCGTATTCTATGTTCATTCCACAAAATGGAAATATGTAGCCCTCACAAGTCGAAACACCAGCAAAACATCATCTCTAGAAGTTGAATATTAGAAGTGTTTCTATCATATATGGTATCAATCACAGAAATCATCACAAAGTTTTTAAAGTCCTTTTAAATTTGAATCACTCACAAGCCAAAACAAACGTTGCACAATTAAACTATACGATTCACATGGCTCATTACAACAAAGAATGTTGATTTGTAAACCAAACTTATCTATTTTAAGAATGAATGGATTAGACATAGTTTATCAATTAAATACGTGACACTGTTATTGATTAGTTAAGTTCAAGATTATAACCACTTTTGAAGAATAAATTTTTTTGGGAAATAAATATCCCTGATAAATCTAACAATGTATCAACTTACTTCTATAGTTGTAACAATAAATGTTTTATTCATATGTTTCATTCCACCTTGAGGAAATGAAGTTTCAACTGGTTGTTTATACACAAATCCTCGCTTTAATGACCAGTCAGCTAACTGTAAAAGAATAGAAGATACTTTGTGATACAGCATTGATTTTTAAATGCTTAATACATGGATAAATAACAGTTTTAATTGTAAAAGAACGCAAATATCTTAAGTAGTATTTTGCCTGTTGAACAGAAACATAATTTACCAAAAAAAATAGAGAAATAATTTGGATTGATAACCCGCATATATTACATAAATACTAGAGCTATTGGGATAAACAACTATATGCCCAAATTTCTATCACCGTCTAGACATATTGGCATACTTTTTTTAGATTTATTTATTCAGTTATATCAATTATAAAACGAATGAAAATATCATTTCACCAAAATAATTTAGAAGTTCATACAGTGATAATAATTATGTTGGTTCTATCAATCAAACTTGTTGACAATCATAAAAACAGAAGATGAATGTATCTGTAACTATGCTTCATCCATCATCACCACCATATATATATATATCGAATTTAACGAACACAATACAAAATAATAAATATCTTATAAACTCAATAAATAGAGGGAATAGTGTAATATTGTAGATAAAAATCTATCTAGTTGTTGATTATTACTGTTATTATTTATAATTTTTACACATAATCACCATCATTAACATTTCAACCATAGTTTGTTTTATGATTCTGACATTTTCAGTTTTGTTTTGAAAAGAAAAAGAAAAATATCATATAGAAGTGGAAGAAATGGATCTGAAATATAGAAGGTAACAGAGGGTTGATATATATATATATATATATATATATATATATATATATATATATATATATATATATATATATATATATATATATATATATATATATATATATATATATACTTTAAATTGCTTATAGGCGGAGCTTGATAAAGTGTTGATAAGAGTAGGGAAGGATAAACTAATTAAAATTTAGTATTTAATAAGTAAATGAATAAAATCTAGTCATTAAATGAAGATCAGTGATTATTTCTATAAACAATCGAATATAAGAAACTGTTAAATATATTACTTTAGATAAGTGACTTTTAGGTCTTCAATCATCAAGGAGATTGTAGATATCAAAGATTGCTATCACTTAAAGAACTAGAATGTTAATGTTTCGTAACCCGTAAAAACGTTTAAACTACATTATTTTTGAAAATCGACAGTCCACATAAAAATAAATTTTACTCACTAGTGACTAGAACTTCAGAGTTTTCGCAAGAAGGCCTAACCTGTATAGTTCAAGCAGGTTGAAAGTGCGTTAACTGTCACTAATGACAGTGTTATACAGTATTGCAAAGTAATAAATGAATAACTGAATTTCACTTTAGTGAGTCGAAAGTGTGGTTTTAGCTCCAAAACATGAGTTTTCTGGGTTCAACTACGTGCTCGTGGGTTGTGAGTTCTCATTGGCATGAAGTTCCGAACTTTGATCCTATAAATAGTGTTTGTTCAAGATCAAAATCAACGTCCAATTGAAACATATATATGCACCGCTCGTCTTGCTCTCTATATAGCTTTTTATGAGTGACACTAAGTTTAGGCGCATGTTTACTCCATTAAGCTGACTGGGTACAAATATTTGTAATTTAAAAACCATCAACTCAACACTATGATGACTAGGCCAAAGCTTTTGACGTTTAGGTCTATACATGTATATAGGACTTATTCCTTAATTATATCAAATAAACAGCGAACGTTCCTACGTAGTCACTCCAGAAGCACTAATTCATTTTCAACACTCCTAAAATAACCAGTAACCAAACAAAAAACAATGAATTGAAAATCGATTCATTTCTTAATGGCAATTACTTAGATTGGTGTTAAAAATGTGGAATAAAGGAATAAAAATAGTTTTTTAAACGTCAATAGACTTTATTTTAACGAAATTTACTAGTACTTGTAACTAAAATTATTATCGGGGGAGTCCACTCAGGATGCATGTGTGATGATTCCTAATACTATCAACTGAAAAGTTTAAACCACCTTCATATAGCTTCATAATCATTGATTTTAATGGCCATAACTTAATCAGTGACTCTAGCGTTCACGACGCAGTGTACACATTAATACTCATATTCCGTTATATCTATTTGAAGATTCCCAAAGAGGATCCCACTCCTAAACACAATCTAAGTGCATTAGGTTGAACCACTGAAATTTATGAACATTAAAAGACATAAAAACAACTGAGTCAAAAGGTGGCTGTATGAAATATAGACTATCTCAATAGCATAGTACAATAGTTTCTTAATAGGTGTATATTATAAATGTACTAGCGAATTCACCAAGAATAAATAACCATGTTCCACGTATCTCTTTCATCGCTTATTCCAAACAATCTGTTTTTGATACTGCAACTGGCAAACAGACAGATTTGTTCAGTTAGATGAAACTCAGAAATTGTGAATACAGAAAAAATATAAACGCGTAGTTCATTTGAAAAAAATTGTCTTTCAAGGATTTCTAGTTACTTTCTCTTCTGCCTAAATACTGTGAACAGTGTATGATATATAATTTTATTGGAAATAATCTATATAGACCTTCTGCTTGATAAAATTACAAATATAAGTATCTTTGTGTTCATTATCTGGAATTTAAGTGAAACCGGTTTTTAAAAATTGTGTTATTAAGTAAAGGGATATAATCTATTTTTTAAAGATCAGCAGTACTCATATCGTTAGAAGTATTTCGAAACACCAATAATTCATGTTATATTCATTAAGTTATCATGACTAACTATTGTTAATAGAACAAGTATAAAGCGAGATAATTCAGCCTCTACTTTAAATTAATATAATTTTAACATGCCACATATAATAATCCTAGATAACATATCAAGAGTATTAAAAGTGTTCAAATTGTTGGAAACCATAAGTTATATCCTAAAAGAATGAAAGAAATATGAATATTCCCATTATAGAACTAAAGAACTGTCAAGTGCTTCGTAGTTTCTAACGATTTTTCAAACAAAATCAGTCGGTTTTGTATACTGTTAGTTATTTGGGTACAATATTGGCTAATATTTTTCTATCACTTGAAACCCATAATATATAATGAATAAATCTCTTGTCTTTAACTTGGTCACAGTGTAAAAGAGATCATCAATAGATGCAACTTGTTTTAATAAACTTTCAAGTTAAGAAAGTCAATTTCAATTAAAACTTAAAAGGTTAATCAGAAAAAAACATTCAAGCACTCTATAGAATAGGTTAATTATCCGTTTAAAAAAGGAGAACTATTCATCAGTTATATAACTTCAAAAACATTTAAATAGTCTTTACATTGTAATATTTCCTTATTTGGATTTTCCTTAATTTTGTACATTCAACTCATTCTATGTATTAAATGAATAAAACTGTTAAAATAACGTGGTAGGTATAAATTGAAATAGTTATGTTTAAATACAATATTGGCAAAACAACAATGTTAAATGAATATATATATATATATATATATATATATATATATATATAAACATTAATTTAAAATTCCCTACCTGTTGTAATCTTCCATTCTTTAAATGTATCAACTCAAGGCCATAATCTAATATAGGATTAATTTTACTTGAATCTATATAACCGATTCGTGAATGCAGTACTTGCTAGAGCAAATAATATACATATGAAGATGAGAAAAAAGGACGAAAAAAAGAATACAAGTTTACTTGAGTATTAAAAGAAAAAAAAGAAACGAAATTACAAAATTCAACTGCTTAACAACTTTCATATTATACTTTCTTTATATAATAAACCAAATGTAATAAGTTCGTGTTAACTGAATATAACTTCAATGATAAGAATATGGATCAATAAAGTTGTAAATAAAATTTCACTTTATTTTTGTTTCTAAGATAAAAATCAGTAATATAAAAGAATTCATAATAAAATCTCTTATATCAATAAAGCTTAATGCCATAGTTACCATAATTTCAAAAATAAATTTAAAAGATTGACTAATTCGATTTAAAGCTAAATGAAAACATAAATATTTGAATTTTCTATTTAGATTTACTGTTCTCATTAATATTAGAAGGGGTTTTTTGTGGATATTTTAGCAATTCTAATAGTTGAGATCATGAGTCAATTGAAGTTAGACCACCATAAAAAACCTGGAAGTATTGGATGACTGTTTCGTTCTATTGTAGGACTCCTCAGCAGTGCGCATTCACGACTGCGTCTTGCGAGATCCAAACCCAAGATCTATCGATCTCGTGCGCGAATGCTTGACCTCTAGACCACTGAGTTGGCATCCAACGGTGTCAATGTCTAACTTCAACCAAGACTGGTTAGTCCTGGGTTCGAATCTCATAAGGCGCACTGCTGAGGAATCCTAGAAAAGAACGAAACGGTCATCCAGTGCTTCTAGGATTTTCATGGTGGTCTAGCTTCAACTGACTCATGATCTCAACTATTAAATTTCTCATTAATATTGAATATTTTTTGGTTGATGATATGGAAACCTGTTTTTTGGAATTGTATATGATAATGAATTCAACGAGTTAGTTTAATGAATGAACGTCATTTGAATGAATATGAGCTTTAGAGTACATTAGAAATTCCCAACCAGTGCACATTCTTAATTATTACATAAGAGAAATTTTTTCACTTTCGTTTTTACATATTATAAGCTAATCACTATTGATAAACATGATAAACAATAAAACACAATATTATATATTTCTAAAAGGAATTAACTTACATTAATATAAGTATGTAATAGTTGACCATTTTTATATGCTAAATGAGGTCCATTTTTATGGCTAACTAATAAACCTTTTGGTGTTTTCAATAAACTTGATCTAACTGGTGTACAGGTAACATGTTCTGGAACTTGTAATTTATTACCAGCTAAGTTCAATGCTGTTGATAAATGGTCAATTATACTTCGTATCATTTGTGTATGAAGCTGAAATGAAAGAAATAAAACGTGGAAAAAAACCCAGTAGGTATAGTAAGGTTGAAGAAAAGTACAGGATTGATTCTAATTAATTCATAAAAATAAATAAGATTGTAGTTGACCCTACTACGGAAATTTCTTGTAAGTACTATGTTACGTAACGTGGCATCGAAATTGTTGGATGGAGTGAAGAGTTTTAATACAGCAAAAGCACTTCGTTGGTAGTAACACGCAGAGACCAGATGAGAAGACACACCAAAAGATGCAAATGGATGATTGAAGAATTCATATATGTATTATGGAAACTGTTTTTAACTTCTCACAATAGTTAAATATTGCTCCTGCCTATTCACTTCTTCTACATGACTTTTACATTTTTTGCATTTATCATTTTGCAATGAGGTGTTTCCTAATAAATTAACTAGATGTAACTTCTATTAGTTATGAATTTGCTGCGTTCTTTATCACCTGTACTGCACTAAGCGATTAGCATATATTAAGGCAATAGTAAAAAAATAAGTCAACTTTTGCTATTGCTTTTCAACATTCCCTGTACCCTAAATCTTTTTGACGCAGTCGCAAACTATTAAAAAGACAAAACCCGACTGATGAACAATAAAGAAATTGCATTATCAACATATAGATTTTCTTCTCGGTAACTTTTAATTACATTTAATTCATGACAAATAGAAACAAGTTTCGTCCGTAATACATGTTTAGAGCGGATGAAATAGTTACCGGAATGCAGTAAGATAACATACTGGAAAAAGTAATAACTGCATTTGTCAAGACATGATCGAATATTAACTAAGCAATTATCGGAGTTAATCAGTAATTTCAATTAGCATTACTAGTAATCGTAGCTGTTTAATATTAAACAAATGAATATGTTGTTAAATCAGTTAGCTTGTTAGTCATTAATTCAATTGAAAAATCCACCATACAATATTTTTTGATATTCGGTGACTGTTTGCTTCCTGACAGGCTATCTGTAGGTTAATAAATTAGTATAGGTAATGGTCGTATGCTACCTGTTTGTAGGTTTTAAATTTTGTTTTCATTCGACTACTTATAATTGGTCATTTCTCAGATATTGGTTATGTAGGAATTTGTGAGTTGTTAGTTGATCATCGCGTATTAGTCAAGATGCATCAAGGAGTATTATTAGTGATTCAACAAATGACTTCTGACCTCAATTATTAATGTCGGTCAAAATAATTTATGCGCTTATTGTAATAAAAAAAGTTTCATTGATAGTAGAACAGAACTAACATTGCTCAAATGTGATAAAAGAATTTACTCAAACTGGTTACAGAAAGAAGATGATTAATTAGTTATCGTTCATATTTACTTAACTTTCAATACGGAATCAGTACTAGAAAATTTGAAAAAAATTCCATTCATATCGATATGCATAATTCAGATTATCGCGTATCTATCGCATTGGATTATTTCTTACTTAAAGGTCAACTCATGATTTAATACTAGGTCGAACAAAAACTTGTAAATAAATGTTTAGTGCCGAAATGTTTATTCAGAAAACATAGTTTCCTGGGGATATTTTGCTAGGGATATTTTATTCAAAAAGTACAATGAAAGATATTATTATTCTCCTAAATAATGGAGTATAAACATTCAGTCCAAGAATTTTATCATAACAACACTTGTCTGATTTAGGCTATATTTAAATACTTATGTAATTATTTTGAGGAATAACTAGATTCCTAACAAAAGTTACTGTTTTGTTTGGAAACTGCTATTAAAATTGTAATTATGACTAACACTTAATAACAGGATCGTAAATAATGTCTTGTTTGTACTACTGAAAAGTGACTGTAAGATTGATGAAACAAGATCAGGGATTAAATAAACAACAGCATATATGTTTTTGGAATTGTCTCTTTTTAATTGAGATCATGAACCGATTGATCTTAAACCACCACTGAAAACCTGGAAGCACTGGACGGCCGTTTCGTCCTATTGTGGAACGCCTCAGTAGTGCATATTCTTGATTCCGCCCGCGGGATTCAAACCCATGGTCTTCACGAACGCCTAGCATTTAGACCATTGAGCCGGCATCCAACGGTGTTAATGTCTAACCTCAACTAATCTTTTTAATAAATCCATTAATAAACCAGATTATACTATATCATTTATGTAAGAAAACAGTAAAGAAATCAGTTTTTATTTTAGATAATATAAAGTCGCATTTATAGAAAGCAAGGGAAAGTCTTTAAAAAGTTTTCAATAACATCTTAGGGGTCATTTAAAATTTAGAAATTAATTAATTGAATTTAATCTTGAGAGTTATTTTATTGTCTTTAAAATTATATAAGAATAAGGTCAAGTAACTTATCCGTATATTACCATCTGTTTAATTTCTAATGAGATACAAGCTTATTCATTATTTGTTCAGTTTGAATTTTTCAAGGTATCTTCAAAAAAACTATGTTATTTAATGAAACAGGATAAATAATCCATCTTCTGGAAATGGATTGTTTGAGATGTCAATTTTATGTAGCTTGTTCAACAAATCACCAAATTGAAGTGATAAGAAATATATTTCACAAAGGTTAGAGTACGTTATTATTTATCTTTCTCAACGTAATTAACACCTGTGAAAATGCACTTGTTTCATCTCCATTTTCATTTTTAAGGTTACCCGCTGAGGTTAATGGCTTCAGTTGTCTCGACGCTTTACGTGTTATTGTTTACGCATTATGCCATTGTGCATAGTAACTGAGTAAAGACAGTGCACTTTAGACAGCCTTAGTCATCAGAATTTGATGCAGATGTAAACGCAAAAGTTCGGCAAAGCAAGAACTGTATTCCTACAGCTGTAGAACATATGGAACTCAAAACAACTGTCTCCAAGCCGACATCAAAGTCAGAATCCTCAATGCACATGTCAAAATAGTTCTACTGTACGGAGTTAAACTTAAAGAACTACCACAACCATCATCAAAAAAGTACATATATTTACAAACAATTTTCTACGCAAGATACTCAGTGTCCGTTGACCGGATACCATCAGCAACAACCTACTGTAGGAGAGAACAAATTCACCTTCCAAACGAAAAGGAAGTAAGAGAAAATATTGGAAGTGGACAGGACATACATCGAGGAAAGCATCAGACTGCATCATGTGGCAAGCACTAACTTGGAATCTTGAAGGAAAAAAAAGGAAGACCAAAGAACGTAGTGTGATGAGAATTGAAAGCGAACATCAAAAGAATGAATAGCAACTGGCAACAACTGGAAAGGATTGTCCGGGACAGAGTTCGATATTGAATGCTGATTATCGGCCTATGCTCTTTCATGAGGTCTAACAGGAGTAAGCAAGCAATTGTATGTATGTAATTTATTATTCCGAACAATCATTTTAATTTAGTACTTATATGTCAGGAATCACCAGTCGATTTCTGTACTATCAATCAAGTCATTTGTAGTGTTCGGTTTTTGTATATCAATAAGTAGTCGAAAAATGCTTACCGATTCACTCTCTGATTCATGGGATATTCCAGGTATTTTGAAACGAACCAAAGCTATATTACCTTTTACTCGCTGAAGTGAATTCATCAAACTTTCAAGGGAACCCTTGAAATACATAATAAATATAAAAGAAAAACACAAAATTAGATTGTGTCTAATCATCATTTAACTAAAAGACACCTCACTATGAAATGATAATCTGGTTTAACTATTTTATGTAATAACTGTATTACAGTTTTAAATTCAATACTATTATAATGTACTAACTTTAATTAAAAGATATTAAATTATAATCAATATCAGGAGGAATTTTTGAGGATATTATAGTAATTTTAATAGTTGAGATCATGAGTCAGTTGAAGCTATATCGCCATGGAAAACCTGTAACAACTGGATGACCGTTTCGTCCCGGTATGGAACTCCTCAGTAGTGCGCACTCACGACCCTGCCTCGTGAGATTCGAACCACGGATCTACCGGTCTCGCGAGCGAACGCTTAACCTCTAGACCACTGAGCGAGCATCCAGCAGTGTTAGGGTCTAACTTTAACTGATCCACGAAATTGAGCGACACATACACTATTGTGTTCAGTGAGTTACTATCTCATACCAGGTTCATTTGAACTCCACTGGTCACTGCTTCTCACTAGAACTGGACTAGGTATTTGAAGATTTGTTTGTAAATATTCTTCTTGATCTTGTCAAATTGGTATTTGAAGATTATCAGTTAGCTCATGAACGATAATCCTAAAGTTAGATACATTATAAAGAAATATAGAATAAAATATTTAAAAATTCTATTTCTATTTCCTCAAGAGAACGTGTTCAGAAGGAATCATCTTTTGTCAAGTGGTTCCAGATTGCCTTTGAGATTTCCATCGTTAATATTGAATGTTAGTCAAACTATTTAAAAAAACTACTTCATTGGTTAATCTAACAATTATGCCACTGTGAAAAATGAAAGGAATTATCAAAGAAAACTAAGACTAGTGAGCAATCATTAAGTAATTATATGCGTCCTATGATAAATAGTAAGACCAAGAAGACTACTTTTATAAATATGTAATTATAAGAATGAGTTCATTTGAAAATGAAAATGGTCATAATTCCACTTTAGCTTTAACATCTGGTAAGCGATAACATCATATCTTGATTTAATTATCAATTTACATGTACGTAAAAACATACATATAGATAAGTATTCAAAAAATATAGTCGGATGTGGTGGAATATATAGCTAAATAATTTCATAATCAATCAGCGTCACGTGCCCAGGTGAATTCGGAGAATGGAAAGATTCACTCCACAATAAAGATGCATATAAGTGGAATAAGGCCGTCAGTGACTTTGCAGAAGTTATCTGAAGTTATTGTTAGATAACTGTAGAGCTTGAACATAGGAAATTTTAAGGCACTTTGTATACAAAGCAATGTGTTCTGATCGTTAACTTGGCCTAGTAGTCTTCAATTTGTTTGAAATCTTAGTTCACTATAACAAACTCATATTCCTTCCTTATAACAGAACATTTCCAGTTATTGTTTAGTACTTATTCAACCTTTTTAAAAATCTAACTAACCTTCTTCGGTTTGCATACATAAATACCTTAGAAAGTATTCTCATTGTCCGACTGTATTAATACATTACATATCTCAGATCTATTCGGCTTTCTCATGATACCATTGAAATTTATGAATGGGATTAATTGTTTTAAACTTATTTTGATAATAATAATATTTTTTATTTGAGTTGTTATGCTATCATTTCAACTTACATCATTAAATATAAAGTACTGGGCATAATTCGGATTGACTTCTTGATCACCCATCTAAGTAAAGTGTAGAAAGAATAATGTTATTTAATAATTAAATCTGATATTAAATTACTTAATTGTAACATTTATTATTTTAATGAGAAATAAAATCATTTCGTTATATATATACTACTTATGGATATATTACTTAACTTATACAGTTTTAGCTTTACAAGAAAATATATTACAGTTTAATGACAAATTTTGTGTTATTTCATGAATAATTTTAATTAATTAAATATTGTTATTAGAAGGGGGTTTTGTGGAGATTTTAGCAATTTTATAGTTGGATTCATGTGACAGTTGAAGCTAGATCACGCGCGCGAAACTGGTAGGTCTTGTGTTCGAATCTCGCGGGCCGGTGTCGCGGATGAGCACTGCTGAGGATTCCCATACTCGGACGAAACGATCGTCCAGAGCTTATAAGTTTTCCACGGTGGTCTATCATCAGTTGACTCATGAATTCAAATATAAAGTCACTAAATTTTAGTTATATTTCTGATAGTCGTTTGGTGAAATATTTTGATATATTTTCCTGTTAAGAATTAATCTAAGATTAGGCTGTTCCAAGTTATGTTTTGTATTTTAAAGATGACAGTATTATTTTCTTTTAATTGAGGTCATAGTAATAGCATCAGATGGACAAACATATTGTGCTAACATTAATTTATTTAAATTTGTGATATTTGGTTGTAATTTGCTAAGGTGTAAAATCTTACATCAACATTTCAATCAGCATTATTTAGTCTGACTTACCGAATCATGTATCTGAGAACTTTGAGGAAAAATCGATTCATTTGACTGAACTCTACATTAATGTACTGTTTACATTATAAGTAATATCTCTTTCTTGTCAATTAGAACTCATCAACGTTTGCTCTGCCATCATTTTAAAAACCGAAATAGGGATCAGAAATTGCTGAAGAAATCTTTTAGTAACAACAATCGTGTCAATTGCTGACCGGTCAATTGTGATAGCTAATCTATCTACTTTTGCACTGTCTGTCCATAAAAAAACACTTTTGCTTTGATCTATTTATTCTGTCCCTACAACGCGAGTGTGCGAGTTCGTATTCATTGCCTACTTTGAAAACCTATTTAGTCAATTAAACACTATTTCTAGTCTAAGGCAGTGAATCATGTTGACTTCTAAGCATTCTGAATAATTAAAAAGGCTATAAATTAATCCTTATATTATCTTGCATAAACCTGACAAACCTTAAGTATAGATGTTCTGAACAGTTTTGATTAAAACAACAAAATATTATCCATTCTCAGTGATGATGAAAAAGTTATGGCTGATATTGACTTTAAAAGAGACAAGTAAGTTTACGGGAGTGATTAACTGAAATTTAATGAAATTACTGTATATAATTGATATTAGTAAAGAGAAATTCCATTTTTTAAAACCTATGACCTCGGATATTCTATTTATATGAATTACCTGGTGTCCACAAGAATAACATTCTTCTATGTCCAATTTATTTCTTATATGATCATCTACGCCTAATCTTATGAAATGGTTACTGAAACGACTGAATCCTATTCCAAACCATTTGTGTAAGTATATGCCGAGTTGTTCATTTGACTTAATTAACTACTTAATTGATACTCATATCAAGCGAATAAAAAGAAGTTCCTTTGATGTGAATTCTTTGATTACAAATGTATCTAAGAGGATACTATTGACATCTTATGTGACAACCTCCTTCAATAATTTTTCGCTCTCTTTATAATTCTTAAATATACACTATTATTGTGCACTGGCAAACTATAACACAATTTTAAGAGTGAATACTCAAATCACTCAGTAGTAGAACATTTTACGTAGACCACTTCATAACTATTGTAAAAGAACCATGTTTTACCAAAAGCTTAGCAACATGTGGATGTGTGAATCAAATCATATTGTATTTATCAATTTTCATGTGCGTATGTAGACTTACATATTTTGGGAGGAGTAATCGTGACTTGCATGCAAAAAAGACTTTATATATACCTTAAGGAAAACATGGGTAAAGAAATTCCAATAGTCCAATCAGATCAAATGACGAATAATTATCCTCCTATTACGAGAGAATGAAGGTTAACGGAATAGCCTTTGTAGTGTAGTGCCTTTTCAAATGATGTTGACGATCTTTTCAGGTACACCATAATGTCGAAGAAGGCTCTACACTGTTCTTATGTCGACCCTGTCAAATACTTTTTCATAGTTAAGGCAGTTGATGTATATTGACAAGTTCCATTCAAGTGATTGTTAAACGATGATCCGTAGTGTCCAGATTTTGTTTGTGTACGAGTGATTCTTACAGAATCCAGTCTGCTGATTTCAAGGCTGGGCGTCTTCTGAATATTTCATTCGGCTCAATAACACTCTGTTGAAAACGTTTCCTAGTACTGATAGTAGCGTGTTGCCTTTTCAGTTCTCACACTTGCCCAGATCTCCTTTCTTTGGTACCTTTTTGAGATATCTTTCTTTCCGGTCCATCGGCACATGTTCCTCCTTCCATATCTTCCTGAATAGAACGTGGAGTATGATTGCAGTTTCTTAGATATCTGACCAGTGCTTCAGGTGGTATATTTCCAGATCCAGATGCTTTCTCACACTACATTTGGCTGGTGGCCATCCTGACGTATCCGATTGTTGGTGGAGTGACATCTATAAGAAGGTCTGTAGATGTTGCTTCGATATCCGGTGGATTCAATGAAGCTGGCCTATTCAACAGTTTCTCAAAGTGTTCCACCCATCTGTTCCTGTGTCCTTGACCGGTTTTCTGACTTACTATATTTCCCTGCTAGTTTCTTCATCATATCATATTTCTTCCTCTTGTAGCTTTTTCCAGCATTATTTCTCATTATTTTTTCTAACCAATTCTTATAAAGATCCATATATTGTACTTTTTTGTAATTAGTATGGTAGACTTGTTTATACTTTGCCTTAAGTAAATATATGCGAAACAATAACCCAGAAGTATGATAAGATTATTTAAATTATCTTATACTATATTCTACGGAATGTTTAAGATCAAATCTAATTTTTATAATCTAAAATAATAACTAACTAATTTGTATGCAAATTAACTAAATTTTTTTCTTCTTCTTCAGTTGATGATTACTCCAGTAAATACAATATTTCTTATGGTATGAGAAAATTTTCTTTTATACATAAAAGTAAATTTCTCTTGACAATACTGTTTAGATTGAGAAATCTTGATTAAGTTGAGTTCATGATCATAGAATTCATTGGATAAAATCTTTGGCTGAATTATAAACAAGTGGAATTATTTAAGGTATATTTTAGTTACAGATGGATATTTTCTTTAACAATACTAACCTAATGTTAACAGCAGTGTTAATGTTGGATTATTTTACAGTTGTTCCGACTCAGATTACGATCAAACGTTTACTTGCTCATACAGTCCAACCATTTTATACGACAGCGATTTATATGCATGAGTTGTCATTTAAATTATTGATACTGAAGAGGAAAGATAGAGATTTTAGTGACTTTTATGTTTAATAAATTATCCAGTAAGTCACCTATTACAAGCCTCTTTCTGACATGTCCAGTTATTTTTTGAACTATCATAACTTGATAACAATATGAAAATAATACAACTGCAATCCTATCATTACTGATACCAGATAAGTGTTTTTGTAATGTCAAATATAATTCAAATAAACTGGATTTATCAAAACTATGACAGGTATCAAACTCAGTTGATGAATGAACGCATAGCAGGTATAAGGTCAGAGTATAGAAAATGATATCGATTATTTGTTAAACTATTATTATTGTTAAACTATTTCTCATGATTAAATATACCTGTCTTTAAGAAAAGATTAGTTATTGATTGTTTGCTCAGAAGCTAACCTTTTGATTTCACAGTTTTCATACTTATTCTAATTAGTTTATTTAAAAATAAGTTGTATTTATTATCATCATAAGGAGTAGCAGCTGTATTGGAAAGAAATATAGTCTGATTTTATACAGATTAATTTTTCCCAGAAATATGATGAGTAATGAAATTGTTTTTAGTGGAAAAATGGGAACGAAAATAAGTAGTTTTCTCTCTACTAAGAAAGGTATACACAGTGTATTCATAAAACTTGTGAATTCAAATAAGTAAATGTTCAGTTAACAGATTTGGTACAGAGACAACTCAGAGCAGTTTTTACTAGAAAACATCTATCTTGGTCTAATCTTCTGTCATTTGCATGATATTATTGTGTTACCAAAAAGCAGGACTAAAGACTGAATCAACTAGAAATATAAATATGGTGGGTAGTAGTCAATACACTAAGAAACGCCTTCAAATGTGCATACCTATCAATGATAGTTATAGTGTCGTTTCGCTTTATCTTTCACTTCTAGGCACTTATAATTTCTTATAACCCGGTGTAAACGTCTCAGAACATACAGCTGGCATATGAGTGCTCGAATTCCAATGTGAAAATCAACTCATTTAAGACTACAATCCTTTTTTGCTGACGAGTGAATACTGGAGCAAAAGTGAGTCCCAGGGTTTCATCTTGATTGTCTCCCTCCACCAAAACATGTATACAAAATCCACCATGTTTCCAAAATTAAGGTAGTCTTATACCATATTGTTGACAGAAGTTGATGTTTAAATGATAAACTATCTTTAGTTCATAACATGACCAGTAAACAGTGATAAGGTTAGATTCTCAACACTTATTTGTCTGTGTTTTCATCCTTTGAACGTTCAGACTCCTGAATTAATCAAATCTCATATCAGTCTCCAGACTTTTACCATGTGAATGCACTAACAATATGATGAGTTTTAGTTCTCTAGTTATTTATTTCTAGTCATCCTGTACATCAGCTTTATTACGTGCTAGTTGAAACCTGGCTTCAACAAACAATAGTCAAAAAGTATTTTTTCTGTTACCGATACTTACGAACGATGGTGCTGTTAATTGTAGTAACCTGATTTTATTTTATTTAAGGCTTTTTACTGCTATGTGTTATCTAAATTGTGTGCTTCATTGTTATCTAAATTAATTTAATTTCATCCACTACTTCAAACCAATTCTGAGAAGCGAGTAGTTCCATATTACAACACCAATATAAAACTCACCATTTGAAAGAACTGTTCTATACTTTTTGCAGACAAATCCAAAAAGAATGCCTCCAAATGTTTGATTTCTCTTATAATGTGGGCTTTGTAAAATGAATTTTCTCTCCATCGACGAATTAGTGCTGTTGTCTGTAAACTTTCTAAGCACTCACGATATTTCAGGAAGTCTAAATAAATTTACAAAATATTCTAATAAGCTTAAAAACAATCATAATTACTCATAAGAATCCCTACGCAAGTCTGATATTGACTAGTATTTTGCGTTAAAACAAGTGTTTTACAGGAGACATAAAGATTTCATATCATGTAAAATCAAACACTATGTATACAATCATACGGAAGTCAACCTCTAGAACTGCTACTAACAAATTCATTTACTTTACTTAGCGACTGTAATTTTCCCGAGATAAAATTAATATTTTACAACTGGAAAGGTTATTTAAAAATACAGAATTTGAAAACTTTACAAATAAATCATAAAGTGAATAACCTTTAAACTTGATTTGATAGTATACAATCTAGCATAGGTAATGGCTACTTTGTCCCAAAATAAAATATGAATGTTATGTATCTTCTATTGATTGCAATGGATAGATACTGAACAGTGAAACAATTTTCTGTATTAGATTATGTAATCGATAATTGATTTATAGATCAAAATACGAATTTTTTACTCGATAGTGATTGGTATTATTATAACTGCAATATGACCTGACCTAAAGCGACTGACGAGTAGAAATAGTCTTTTATAACACGCGCAACAAAAAAACTATTGGAATGCATGTTCACCTTCTAATACTCTTTATAAATGCCAAAAATAATAGAAAATGAACCAGATTATGCTTCAGACGTTACCGGTGAATGAATGTTCTTGGCAAAAAAATATTGACTTTCTTTAAAACATATGTGATGACTAAAATTGCTTCTGGTCTAATATACAGAGGTCTTTTCGTAAACCTTTGATGGTAAAAACCTCTCTAAAGTAAGGTAAGTCTGAATTTAGTTATTCTCTAGTTAGTACAAAGTCTCTGAGTGAATTCACTTCATTTATGAAATTCATTGGTTGCTTAGTTATCAGACATCTCTTTGTTTCATGAAAATCAGTCGCACCGTTAGTGTGAAGAAACGACGAACAATACTTAAATAATAAATATTTGTCCTGCTAGCTCTAAACATTTTAAAGCAGTAATAATCTAGTATTCAGAGAATAAATGATAAGCATTTCACAGAGTTTTACAAAACGGAGGCCTTAAGGAAAATAATCTAAAACTTGGAAAAAGTACTCCGCAAATCACAAACATTCACTTGTTAGAGAGAACATATCTTCATAAATCATTTATTCGAATGGTAATGATTTTTACCTGGAGTTGATCTGGTATCAGAAGATAAGACCGATTACTGATTGAGTTAATGGAAACTAGATGAATAAGCTCTTGAGGTTATTTTGACTTAAAAATACAAAACAATGTGTTCTGGTATAGCTAAGTAGAGGGTTTTCTGATCATGTGCCTCATAGCCCATGAACACAAGAATACTGGTCCTCATACTGGTTATCATCACACTTTTGATAAGTAGTGCACAACAGTTTTGTTTCTTAAAAGATTGCTTAACAAAACTGCTAAGTGATTTTGTGTTTGTAGGCACAGTATAAAGCAGAATGCCAAGATAATAAATTGTGGTTTTCTAGCAACCAACTGATTTTATAGTACAGAAGGTAATCGATTGCTAAAAGTCGTTAACTCATAAGTTAACCACTGATGCTACATACTGCAATGAATTCATGATTTTAATAAAAATAACTCACCACCACTGTGTTCATATACAATAGCAAATCCTTTCCAAATTTCTTCATTAAGTACAATTAAATTTTTTAACAGTTCAGCCACAAGAAGTTGACTAGGACCAATTGAATGCACTAAAGCGGGTGAATATGGATTAGATATACGCTGATGTGAATTTCCAGAACGATGTTTAGTTTTTGAAAATGAGAACCATTTAATTGCTGAATCAATCATAGAACCAGGACATTCTTCAAGGTCTGTGATAGTTACCAAAGGTAATTGTAATCTTGAACTTAAACTCATCAACAATTGTCGTCTATAACACCTTAATCGTTCACTAGCTTCAGATTCAGCTGCTTGTTCTAGTCCATTATGTAAAGTACTTTTTATTTCTTGTTCATACTCAGCAGGTTCATTATTTTCATCTTTTATGCTAGCTGAAAATATGAATGTATCATCACTCTGTGAGGAATATGGCCAACTAGAGTCTACAAGTGCAACTGGTCGATTTGTTTTGTTAAGTATGGAGCAGGCTAAAATGAATTTTAAAAAAAACCCAATATTTTTTGTGATAAACTTGTTGCTTATTTACTCCATTTTTAAAAAGCACTCATCTCATATCTTCTTATTTTATACATAAAACTACAAATCATTTTTTTTTGTGTAAGTAAGCTGAGAATTCTTCCCTTTTTTCAATGAACTGGAAATATCGCTTTTCAATACTTTTATTCCTTCAAAGTATTTTCAAATTATTTAATTGAGCGTTTTCCCTAGGATTCTAAGGCTGTAGTCGATCTATTCACATTGGATTTTCTCAACATTTGACAGCAGACATAAACTTTAGAAATCATTAATTAAAATGACTTTTACAATCTTTTTGTACCTGAATACCAATAACTTACTACTATTTTGGTAAGGATAGTCAACTATTTTTATCTGAAACAAATTGGTTACTAGCTATTATGTCACATGCTGATATATACCCATGATATTAGAGTAAGCTGTAGAAAAAATACTCCATTGCTTTTATTCAGTTGCAGATGCAAAACAAATGATCATGAATCACCAACAAAAGAGTTTCACATGACAGTGTAAATTTACTATACGTATACTTAGAATGCTCTATTTAAAAAAGTTAAGATGATTCGGTGCTGAACTCTGGTATCACAATCAACATATTTCAAATGTATACATCTTTGGTGAGGGGCAATGACTAGTCAGATGCTACAGAACACCCATAACTTGTCTGTCAGCTAAACGAACTTTATCCAAGAGCCATACAATGATATTATTAACTTATGACCGAGAATACATATTCTGATCTCAACTAAACGGTTTTTATTAAACAGAAATTTTTTTATTTTAGTATTGGAAAAAGATTTATGTCACCTTTTTCCTGGATATCGTTCATGGATAATCAAGTCAATTAGTTTTACTACATTTTCATCTAACTTTGATCGTTAATGTACCTTGCGGTTATTTGATATTGTTGTGGTAGTTATTTAGGGAACTTAATACTGAGTAGTAGTTTGCTTATCATAATTTGCTTCCTATTAAAGAAAGACTATTATGCTCATTAGTAATTAATGCAAACTTTTTACTCACCTTTCATATATATATATATATGATTGTATGAGGGTTTGTATTGTGAAATGAACCTTTGGTACGTATAAAATATGAACAAGATTTATAAGATACCACCTATTACTATTCGGTATTTTTAAGATGAAATCAAGGTTAGAAAACATCTTATGGGAAATCAAACAGAAACACATAATTAACTACTATTTCTATTATTTGTACGAACTGTACTGTTGCCATGTTTATTAATTTTTGTATTCATGAATATAACTGCGAACTAAAAAAATTAATTTATGTGATTCTATTTAAATGAAAAAAACGATTTTACTAAATCGGGAATATAACTACGCAAAATCATTTCATCATATAAATATAAATTTGAACTATTGAATGGATGAATTATATATCTCATTTAGGTTGGTCTCTGTTTTACTCATATAATAATAGGTATATATATCCCATTTATGCAAATGAGAGAAAATCTGCCCTCATAGATAATTGCAGCCTAATTTAGATGACAACATGAATCATTTTAATATCAGACCGATTGAAATATTAGACGTCACTTATTTCAGACTACAACCCTCACTTTTAACTAAACAGTATTTGTTTTAATCTGATTTCAGAAGGAAACTATAAACGTACTGATTTAATTGTAAAAAATGTCTGTGACAAACTTTGCTTCAACACAAATCAAGAATAAATATTAACTATGTTTTTTTTATCATAGAATTAAAACAAACCATAATGTTCTGCCTCTAAAAATTAAATATAGTTACCAAGTAGGAAAGAACATTATTTAAATAAAATAACATTTAAATATAAATTTACCAGCATTGAAATCTGCTTCAATATCACCAGTTATTGGTAATAGAACAATGGCAACACTAATATTAGCTTCTATTGCATATTTTGCAAATGTTTGATCGTAAATTGGTAAGCCGAAAGTAACTGAAAAAGACCCAAATAAAGTGTATAACGTTCTATTAGAAAAAAGATATGAGTTAGGATGTCATAATTGATATATAAAATACTAATACGATTGATCCAATAGTTAACCCATTCAATGAAATCTTATTTTATTGAATTTCCAGTTGCGTATAACAGTTTTCTCAGTAAATATGACTGAATTAAAATTGTAATCATCAGATCTTCTTATAATTATCTATAATGAGTTTCTGTTCGATGTTTCATGGGTTTAGATTTTTATATATGAGATACAGATAGATAGAACTGAAAGCCTTTTCGTTGATTTTCTCTATTCTGTCTATATAAATTCTAATTGAACGTTACTTGTTATGTCTGATTGTCGCTGATTGTTGTATCAGAAATGCTTATCACTTATATTCGAAACGAAGGACCTCAGCAATTCCCATGACTCGAAATTATGAACACAAAGACTGGTATAAGTGAAGATTTATTAACCACCAAAACACGACGACGACCCTAGTCGAATATACACCCATTTTTTATATTGATTGTACACACACTTTGATTAATAATTAGGATGAAATCATATATATAGAAAATAATTAACGTTATAACAAATCACATGCTGAGCATAGTTCATGTCAACTGAATACAAGAATATCGCAAATTATACAGAATAAAATATCATACGAGACAATAAAACGAATACCACATTGAGTCATCATTACACTGAATCAAAATGGAAGTAATCTTGAACTAAACTCATAATGAGTAAATCAATCGAATTTCGACTTTTCTTCCCGTCATATCACTGAAGTAACATTGTAATCCTCTTATAATTATCTACAGTAATTATAAATGAGTTTCTATTCGGTGGTTCATGATTTTAGATTTCTGTATATGAGATAACGATAGATAGAACTGAAAGCTTTTCTCATTGATTTTATATATTCTGTTTATATAATATAAATTCCAACTTTAAAAGTTTGTTATTCTCTAAGCTTGAAAGGTAAACTATGTCTCAATTTTTTTTAATAAATGAAAAGTTGATATAGTCAGAGTGCCGAAATGTTTTGATTTGAATATAGAAAAATTGTAATCAGTATTTGAGAAGTTTAGTTTACTTCAAAATACCTTCCAGAATCATTATGATCATTATACGTTAACATTGTTAAAATGAACTTCAGAGAGGTCTTTTTTTTTAAAAAAAGTATGAATCTTTTCAAAATGATACTTGCATCTATTTGAAATAACATACTTATATTTATATGATAATCGAAAAGATTCATAATCTAGTGTAGAGAATACAAAACACGTTGTTCATAGGAAAAATCGAATGTAAATTTACATATATTTACACATTTAATGAGAAGTTTATGCGACTATAATTTATGAACGAATCAATCAGGTATAAGATAACAGGTCTCGGATTTTGGCGCGAAATTCATTCATCTGGATAAATAGAGTTTTTGCATTACAGCTGATGTCAGTTCCTGATGAAAACCAAAAATCTAATTTTTAACCTTATTCATCACTGTAAATCATAATTCTAATTGCTCTTACTGGTTTCTAACTCTCATTTAGTCCTAGTTATTAGGTGGACACTCTCAAGGTCACTTAGTGTCACTCAAAGGTCATCCATAAGTTATAGTCTCACCGAAAAGTGTCCTAATAAAGTACTCAAAATAATGTTGAAATAAAATGTATAAAATTCGAGACTTTTTTAACTGTTGTATAACCGTAGGTTGAATGTGGAATAACCTGAATTTTCAAAATACCAAACAATGAACAACATTGACAAGAATATATTTGACTCGTCATAAAAATCATTAAGATATATTTGACTACTGAAACCTTAAGGGTTTACCTGTTTTCAAAAAAACCCATATGGTGTCATGACCTGAAAGAGTGTACATCATTGATACTATTCGATAGAGAAAAAAGACGGCCGTATTCATTTTTTTCCTCAGATTACCTATTCCAACTATATGTTAAATTATGAACAAATGCCATTTAAGAATAGCATATTTACTGTATAAAACTGTTTTCAAAAAAAGACTAGCAGAACAATTAAGAAAATAAATATTATTTTTGTAAGTTTATTTACAGTCCATAATATTATACCGAATTGAGATGAATAAGCATAAATGGATGAAGAAGATATATAGATATTGCAGTGAGAATTACTTTAAATAATGCGTATCTAAAAAATCAATTTCCAGTAATCTATTTTGATTGCTATTAGAACAGGGGAAATAGAAGTATATATATATATATATATATATATATATATATATACGTAGCATATGCAGCCATGATTATCAACTGTTGGCACAAAGTATCGTTGACGAAATAATTAACCAATGTCCCAATAAATCAATTTGTCAAGCTACTCAGTTTAAGAAGCCACTAACTTATTGAACGGACGTAAATTATGAATTTCTCCGATAATAAGAAAATCAATTCATGAGTTTTTATTAGTATATGTACATTATAACAGGACGGTCTTAGTTATTAGTTTGTTAGTAAAAATGAATAAAATGCATAGCTTTAATGTTAAATGCCCTGGATTTGGGTTTCATTATAAACATCAATAATGAAACAAAGGTACTTTCAGTTAAAAAAGAAGGTAAACGGTTTTCCTGAATTCTAATGCTAATGACAACCAATCTTGACCAAAACGTATGGGTAAACGGTAGTAATAAAGTGATCCGTTTATGACTCAGAAAGCCGTTGTAGTTTCCGATATCAACAATTGGAAATGCAAATGCTTACAAATTTATTCAGATTAATTTCGAATTAGGACTGTCATTAAATAAAACGGAATCTCCCTAAAGTAATTTCTACCTTCATGTTTTTGTTTACCTTAATTTATTAATATGTAGGTTGATAAGTGTTTGAGTTTTCTAAACTCGATACATACCCATACAACTGAGAAAAATAGAATTTCCAATAGCCGTATGCAGGGTATTTTAACTTTTTAAAACGTGTTCATGAATAGAAATAATGACTTTCACTATTGACGATGCATTGATATAAGGGTGTAATGCTTCAAATTATTTCTTGTCATTTAAGCTAACGCGATATAATGCTGTGTTCTTGCTGTCGTCTATTAGTTTATGTAAAAGCTTTGGTTACAACTTATTATTGTAATATTCTATAGACAATCTATGAAATGTTAGATAGCCATGATAAGAAACGTTTCAGTTAGTCTGTGATAAAGTCATGAACAACTTGTCTTTCAAATAAATTATTGAATTTACTCACGTGTAATACAAGCTTATAACTTCACTAATTCTAGTTATGAGTATTGCACCTAAATGCTAAACACAAATATGATATATAATTAACTTTAAAGAAAACTATTCTATATGATAGATGCAATTTATGAATCTTAGGCATAACAACATAAATTGCTCTCATACTTCTCACTTCTTCAAGGTAATAATGAAGTTAATATTTGATTCTATGGACTACCTGATCAAGGTTAAATATTATCAATTCTGACATTTAAAAAATTTATAGTTGGTGAAATACAATTGTTACTGAGGAAATCTTATTAAATGTATATAAATCACCTTTCCATATTGTTACATAAATCTTTAGAAAGACAGTAAATTTTCACCAGTAAATGAAACCAAAATTTGTGAACATAACATTTTTATTTGAAAAAAATGACAATTTGGTCTAATTTTCGTATTTTTTTGGTCGATAATGTTTTCTAGGTTTTTGTTATTAAAAAACAAACAAATTTTTTAGCTAATGACGTTCTTTCAAAAAGGAGAAAAATAATACTGAACAACATTTATTTGACTAAGTGATATGTTAATAATAGAACAACAACAACAGTAATGAGATTGAGAATGGAAATGTCATTTAAAAAAAGTTGAACTGAATTTAATTATTCATTTTTCAATTAAAAATGTTTTATGTATATAGTACATGAAAATATGTGATGTATAAATAAATAATGGTGCGAAGCAGTGACCAGTGGAGTTCAACCAAATCTGTTGTGAGATAGTAACTCACTGAAGACAATAGTGGACAGCGGCTCAATTTTGCGGATTAATTGAAGTTAAACGCTAACACCACTGGATGTCGATTCAGTGGTCTAGAGGTTAAGCGTTCACGCGCAAAACCAGTAGATCCTGGGTTCGAATCCCACAAGGCAGGATCGTGAGTGCGCACTGCTGAGGAGTCCCACAATTAAGAGAAATGGCAGTTCAGTTGTTCCAGATTTTTCATTGTGATCTAGCTTCAACTGACTCATGATCCCAACTATTAAATTAAGTATGATATTCACAAAACCCCTTTCTGATAGAAATAATCACTGTATTTGTTTTTATATAGTTGATCAAACAAAAAAAGAAGGAAAACTGACTTTTTTCAATGATATATGTTTGATGTAGAAAGATTGAAAATGATTTTTCACTGGATAGTTTTTGGAATTGATAATATTGATAACAATAATAATAATGTTACATTAACTCTATGTTATGTGTTATGGTGGATAACTAAAAACATAATTTATAAACCCTTTTATTACATAAACAATTTTATATGTTAATTATATGAGCAAAAAACTGTAATGAGTTTGTATGTGTTATAAAGCTGCTTCAATTTGCAATCACATGTATTATATCATGTTATTCGATTTAATTTTTAATGTAAAAAAGACTGGATAATGAACCTCAATTCTCTTTTTGTTGTATTCTTAGTTAAATTCTTCATTTAAAGTAGGTTTTGTAACAGTTAAGAATGAATCGCTTGTCCTTACGATATGTAATTTCAGGGTACCTTACTGATTTATTTTCACTCAGTAATTTTTCGATTATATTTTATAACTTCTTTGTGTTATGACCTATAGCGACTTAAAAGTTAGTGTAATGTCAGCTTGTCCTTATAAAACCAACAAGAATCTAAAGAATGAGTACACATATTTAAAACAAAATTTAGAATTAAGGCATTTGGATCTGTAGATCGTATAATGTGATCAAGAATCTAGGTTAACTGTTCATAAA